AATTTTAGATTATAATAATATTATATAGATAAACATTTTATAGATATTCAGCCAAAATGTTGAGAAAAGTAATTTAATTAAATGCACGTCGAGTGCCTAGGCAATCGGTTCAATGTTCAGTAGGAATTCGTGATTTCCATGCCAGGATTTTGTTGACGGTTATTTTTGGTGAATGCTTTATCCTTGGAACATGCCGGAGCTGCCACTGCCGATAACTTACCATAAAAATGAATAACAATAAAAATCTAGTCGATTATTTGTATGACGTATTTATTTAGATACCTTCACAAAATATTATTTTAAAGTTTAGTTTTCGGTGACGGCCGAAGCGTTGGAAAGCGACATGTTTCCGTCCAGCTGGCGGTAAAGTGGAAATCCCAAAAAGTGTTGGGCGCGCAGATCGCGAGTAGGCTCTTCACAACCAGACACTGAAATCTATGCCGCGGTACTTGCATAACATAAACTTTTGGTTAAATCTTATATAATCATGATATAACCTGATTACATAAACATTTTTCTTTCGTGAAACTGTGTTCTTATAATAATCTGGTTGTCGCATAGATCCTTACATACAGATGTAACTCTAAAACAAATGAACGTATATACATGACATTTTCACTAGTTGTTTATACTTGCATTTTCTATACACGAACATTTTTTTTAAATATTATGATTTGTTTTGAACTGTTTAGTGACATTTTCATTTTTCATTTTTTTTTAGTTTTTATTCTAAAAAAATCAATAAAATTTATTTGTTGGTTTCGAAAGCTTGAAAATTTAATAGAAGGCTCCTAGTATATTGTTTCAAAGGCAGATGAAAAATATTAAAAATCCTTAGTCACAATTTTTTCTTATAAGCATTTAAAATTCAAAAATTGACAAAATATGGAAAAATCACGAAAATTAGCAAATTATTTTGAGTTAAGAATTCGTAAAAATTTTTCTTTTTAAATCTAAAATTTGAAAATGTAATATAAGATTACTCATATATTTGTCTACCTTTATCAATAAAAAAATCTCTACCGGAAAGTCAAATTAAATTTTTATGAGCGTTTGAAATTCAAATTTTTACAACATTGGATATTCACTCAATTTCTCATGTAGCGATTTCCTTATTTTGTTGTAATTCAAAAACGAATAACTGTAGATACATGAAAATTTCACTGAATGTTTAAATTGGCATTTCTTATACACCTAACAATTTTGAAAATATTTTGACTCTTTTTGAGCTGTTCACGGACATTTACAGCTTTCAATTTTTTTAGTTTTTTTTTCTATAAATATCAATAAAGTTTTATCTGTTTGGCCAAAAAGTGTAAACATTTAATACAAGGCTCCTGATATATTGTTTCAATAGCAATTGAATAATATTAAAAATACATAGTCACAATTTTTTTTTATAAGCATTTAAAGATCGAATTTTGACTATCAAAATCTCAACAATTATCGATCATTGTAATTAATAAATTATAAAATGTTCAGTTTTTATAGCTAAGGATTGCAAATTTAAAACAAAGGTTCTCATAAAAGGTCAAAGGTACTTTTTGGGGTCAAAAGTAAAAATTTCCCAGTAGTTTTCAAAAGCGCCGTGAAAAACAAAAGAAAAATTTAGGAAAATTAAATTCCATATAATTTAATAGGTACCATAGATAAGTATTTAATATGTCTTATACCTAGACCGACATACCGTCTCCGCTCAGAATCGTTTTTCTTATACAATGATATTATATCATTGAATTCAAATATAATACCACCCATTATACAGTGACCCACTTGTAACCTACAGTACAGCAGAGCGACATCCACTTACCCACCTTTTTTATTCTTATTTTATTTTAATAAAATTATTATTATTTATACTGAAATCTATACCGCGGTCCTTACAAAACAAATACTTTTGGTTACATCTTATATTTGTTATTATAATAGTATATATTAAATAAACAAATAACAAATTTTCGATTTTTATTAGTTTTATTTTAAATTATTGTCGATAAAAAAAATATTCGTTCTGTCAAAATACTTGAAACTTAATACAAAAACCTCATAAGTTTTTATTAATAGAAATTCAAAAAAAGTTGAGCGTAAATCCATAAAAATCTTTTATGCGCGTCTGAAGTTAGAATGTTAACATAATTCGTCAAAATCACGAAAATTCGAAAAATTATTTTTGATGAGAAATTCATTAAAATGTTTCTATTTGACTGTCGAACGATTGAGAACACTCAAAAATAACAAAGAACTTACCGCTGACCCAAAAAATATTCAAAAAAGAATACGTTTGAGAACGAATTTACGTGCTAAGTTGCCAATATTGCCATATCATTTATTTGGCTATTGAAAGATTCGTGCCCGTATGCATAAAATAAATATTCTTAAAAAAAGTCATCAATTAATAATAGTTAAAACAGGTAAAATATTCATACTAAGGATAATAATATGGTTTTACAAAAATATAAATTATATGTATAATATTAGATTTAGGTAGTATTTGTTATACTTCAATAGTTTTTACAAGTTATTTATATTGATAGATTATTAGTAATTACTAACATTTTTAGATCATCTAGACGCCAAATCTACTTAATCTATTGGCTATTGCCATAGGGCATAGACATACTATTCTTAGTACCTTGCAGACTCGCACTATGGTAGCTGTTTTCAATATTGCTTCTACTTGAGTTTCAGTTAGAATTTTAATAACAATTAACATAATATATTGCTAATTCAAATTTCAATATTAAGAAATTATAGTGCTCAAATAATCATTCTTTTAAATTTGGCTACGTTGGAAAAAAATATCGAGCGTTCCTCGATATTTTTATTTTATTTAACATTCTGTTACCAAAAATGCCATTCTCAATCGTATTTTACCGTTCTATTTATATCTCAGATTTGAAAATGTTTTACAAGATTCCTCATAAATTGTTATAATAACAGTTGAACAATATCAAAGCAACAATACAACAACGAACAATGTATTTGGAATTTTATCTGACTATCGTGAAATATTTAAAATAGATGTTTAAATAAATTACTTCTAAAAATAATAACGAAAAAATTCAAACAAAATTAAAATCTCTCTCTTAATTTGGTGTCACCATTTCTCCCTCCCCCACCCCACAAGTAGTTTTTATCAAAGTACATAACCCCAGCACCCCCACATACGATGTGCACAATATTTTTACAAAAATATAGTATTCGTTTTGTATGACAATTTTCCAATGGATACGCCTTTTTTTCGCCCCACAAATAAAAAAAACTTGGGTGGTGCTGGAGAAAGTTTTTTTGCCTGTATCTACGCTTGTTTGCAAATATGATAAGTACCTATACTATAATGCAATATATTATACTAAAACTGTTTGTTATTATATTGTTTCAGCATTGTATTTTAACTGATTGTTTTGATTTGTTGTGGCACAACAATAATGTATCATTTTATAAAAATATCATAAAGTAAAAATTCTAAACACATACTAAGTGATTTAGTGATATTCATTTAATAGCAATTAGTATTATTTTTATTTATTTGGTCAATTTTTGTAATTTGTACACAATGCACATGTGTATAATGTATTTTACTTGATCAACAGGCGAAAGTTTCGATTCATTATTTTTGCAAAACCCTTTTCGTTTATTGGAGTCAAGCCAAGCACTGTTAAAATTCGATAGGGACCACAAATTAAATGCACTGTATGGTTTTAAATTTCTAACGATGGTTGACTTTTTGTTTGGTCACATAGGTAAACCTATGATAACCCTAAATTCATAGAACTGTGTAAGTCACGAAAATATTTTTGAAACAAATTATTATATTATTAGAGTTAATATATTATTGGGTGATATCTTTAAATTCGAAAATAATGAGCGCTCGTTTAAGTTACCCATCTTGAATGTATATTATGTTCCGATGGCAGTGCTAAGGTATAGGAACTTTAATTGCAAATATCTTTGTCCTGGAGGGAGTTTTTCAAAACATTTTTTACATTAGACGAATAAAAAAAAATTGTTGAATTAATTGTATCAATATATACAGAAAGATTCATCTTTACAACAGAAGTTACAACATAAGTAGTACAAAAATATTAAAGAATTTGAAAATGTGGTGTTTGACTATAGGTATATGTTTAAAAATTCCAAAACTAAAATTTAAAAAAATGGAATTATGTAAGGAAAAACGGGGGCGAGCATGCTTAGTGGATCATCCTAATATAACGTATGATACTATTATGACGTATACTTATGACGTATATTTATGGACATTTAATACGTTTTCAAATTACATATAATTATGAAAAAATAAAAATGTTTAAAAATCAGGAAATATAATAGTGAACTCCGGGTGGGGGGGAGGAGGGGTCCTACGTCGTATCTACGTCAATATAAGTGTGATAAATAATAAGCTGGGATTACCGTAAAACTTACTACGCGTATGGTCGGGCCGTTATCCGATGTCTGTGATCTTTGCAAGGTTAACTCATCGAGTGCTATACCGTTGATTTTATAGGTAAACAACATCGAATCAATTCAACCCCAGACGTTTGCGGTGAACTCCCCCACTTATATATTACGTGCTTTCATTGATAATCTATTACGAGTGTTACTTTTTTCCTTATATATACGTTTTACGACCGATCGACGACCTAAGTCACAATATTGTCGCGAGTGTCGCGCAATACTGCAGCACTATAATATTAAGCAGCTTTTCGCCGACATTTTTAAATTTTTTTATCCATACACCCAACTAAAGCTGCAGCGTATTCGCAACGTCGAGAGTTTTCGATATAATAGTATAGGCCCATTGGAATGTTCTTGATAATATATTATTTAATTTCATGACCGCTCGTATAATATTATCATATCTATTGTTCGCCTCCAAGTTTACAATATCGGCATTTTTTCTCACCATAGTTGATTTTATCATTTTCTGCGTGGGACATAGGGTCGACGGTGTCGAGAACTGATAAATTATATATTTATTAAAATATAGAGATCATATAATGGATATGTCGACCGCGATCGTCGTTGGACTGCTCGCGCTATTGCAGTTGGTCACCAGATCGCATTCCGACGGGCAAGTCGAACAAATTCTTGCAGTGTCTGCCGCTGACGTTCATCTACCGAGGCAGTGGATATCCGAGCTGTTTCACCAGGCATTGGCCAATTTCACAGTTCGACATGTCGGAAGCTCCACTTGCCGGCTCCAATCCGACATGTACGACAGACATTTGCAGAACCACACCAGTTGGGCGGTCAGAAGTGAGTACATATATATTATAACCGATCTGATTATCCTAATACACTACATTAATACTACTCAATATTACACTATATTTTCAAATGCTGTATTTCATGAACCATGAAAGTTAGAAAGTTGAAATTTTCACAGATTATGTATTTCTGTTGCCACTATAACAACAAATACAAAAAATCCTAGAATATATAATATAAGCTGTTGTCCAACATGTTTATAGATGATGGTACGGAACCCTTCGTGCGCGAGTCCGACTCGCACTTTGCCGGTTTTTCTTATAAACATTTTAAGTTTAAATTTGCATGAAGTTATAGATATTTAAACGAAGAATAACGGTTTTAATTGTTTTGTTGTAATTTAAAAATATTGTTTCCGAGTACCTGAAACTTTTAAAATATATTATATAGACATTATTGTCAACAATTAATTGAACTACCTATTGCCGTATAGTAAAATAAATTACTTTAACCACAATAATAATATAATAATACTGTAAAAAAAAAAAAAACATCCCATAGGCCATAACCATGTAATCTCAATTTATAACTTAATTTTCCATTAATAATAATGTAATAAAACCGCATGCTATTGACCTATAGCAGTTGAAGCCTTTATTCTCAATAAAAAAAAAAAAATTAAGATCGTATAATATACTTGGTAATTTTATGTAATGCTGACAGTCCGTCTTCGCTAAGAATCGTTTTCGGTATACAGTGATTTTATTTCATTCAATACAAATTTAACAAATCAATTACAGTGACTTTTTCAGACAACTGATGTTCAGCAGCTCTGTTATACCCACTTTTTTAAAAATTATTTTTTACATCTATTTTTTTCATACACTAATAAGTAATTGGTTTTTTAAACTAAATTCAGTAAACATTAGCACACCAGCATATAATGTTTATAGTGTTGGTTGAGTTGGAAAAAACAAAAACTGTGGTCAAACAATCACATTGTAACAATGTAACGTCTTATAATAATATTATGGATATTGGATTTTTGTATAGTTAAGTTTTCAGAATAATTCAAAATTAGTTATAAAAAAATTAGTTTAAAATTAGTTTTAAATTAGTTTGGTTAGTATTCATCTATCATAATTCCGAAAAATAGGTAATTATACATATAATTATTATGATATAATATCACAATTATATTTTAATAAAATAAGTTCAATATACCAAATAATGAAAATAATATAAATATAATAAAACACTTAATAATATGATAGGGCTTAAAAACCGGCAATTTAGGATAATTTATTGGAAGCAATAACTTTGTTAAGTTTATTTATTTACCTCTCAAATTACCTATAATTATTTTTAAAACCTTTTCACACTTTAATGGAAAACTCATAGGCTGTATGTCTGTATATCTACATAATATAAAGAAAAAGCAGTTAAATTATATAAATAATATCAATAAGTATATTATTATATCAATATAAATGTATTTATTAATAGCCAAATAGTTCATAACCGATTGTGTATAAATGTCAATGTTTAAAGATAAAAAAAATTTTGAGAATAATTTTCAATAAGTTTCATAAAATGTCCTACTATAGGTATTGTAAGAAGAGAGTCGTTTAATAAGTTACATACTAATATTAAAATAATTAATAATTAATAATCCTTATAAACAATTAATTATGAAAAATCATGAATCAAAAACAATGAAAACAATCAAACATACAAATTAATATAGGTAATAAAAATAATCAAAACAATGAAAAATACAAATTAAAAGTAAAAATAATGAAAATAATTAAACATAAAAATAAAAAAATATATTTAGTCCATATAGCTGCAGTACCAATACTTTTAAAATACATAATTTGTTTAAAACAATATAATACCTAATTATTGTTCACACATATCGTTATGAAATTAACTTTGGCTATTAAGTAATTGGATAGGTATAAAAAAAAATTTACCAGAGGTAAATATTCGCTTTTGATATTTTACTGGGAGGTAAATATTCTCTAGTAAAATTTTATCGGGGGATAATTACTCGTTAGTGATAAGAAAAAATGTTCTCTTATGAAATTTCACTCCCCCCCCACCGGTAAGATGTTTCTGCTGATAATTTACCGAGGGAGGTAATAAGATTCCATGAAGTAAATAATCGAGGGTATACACCGGTAATAGGTTACCGCTAACGACAGAATCGGTTTAAAACGAACAATTTCGATAACGGTTTCCACCCCTGAAATATAACTATTATCAAAAATAGATGCTAATACCCGTCTTTTTCACTCAATATCGGTTTTTTTTATTTATACAATGATTTTCCATTGAATTCAAGTTTAACATATCCATAAAAGTGACCTACCTAAATTCGGAGGTACGCCCATTACTAAACCTGGTACAGAAGAAGTGACTTTTGAAGATTTTTCTTATAAAATAGGTACGAGCAATCAATAATTTTCTATAGTCCTAAGATTTGGATACAATCTTAACTTGGTTATGTACTTATATACAATTTTTGAATTTTCACAATGACTAATCGCAACAGTATGACGTTTGGTATAACGCAATATATATATTATGTACATCGTATATAAAGTATGATACCATCAATATTATAAAATAAATAATATATAGTTACTATAACTATTCTCTATATTTAAAAAACAAATCATAATGATTTGCCTAACGTTTTAGTTTAAATTATGTTGTTACTTATTGTACTCAATACTTATATAAATAATTTGTACAAAACATCACAGGTACCTACGAACAATTATACGTTTGTAATTCAATGACATTACCCACCTAAGCACCAATCCCTATAGTATAATTGTATATATCATATTCTGATGGTTCTTAAACAATTAAACAATAAAACCAGTTTGATGGAATTTGTATATATAACTATAATAATATTCAACTTTTCAGTTGAAAAATGTACTCTCCATTATTAGTTGACCTACGTCATAATATATGTGTATTCCCATTTCATCACTCAATTTCCCGCGAACTTAAGTTCGGCCTTGGGCTTATAAGAAAATACTAATATGCTTAAAATCTGCTCTGAAAATGCTCTATACAATTTAAGAAAAATAAACCAATGACATTATTTTGATTACCTGTATATTTGCATCTAGAGCATATAAATGTGACAATAATACCCGTTCAGTCTAATATTATAATATTATACATTTATACTCGGCCATTCACCGAAAATTTCACCTCCAATTTTTACTTAAAAAACTATTTTTTTTTAATTCTGTAATTTGACATTTTGAAGTATTTACTTAAGAGTTAAGAACCGTATTTTCAACTATTTAGATTTTTTGTATTATTTTAGCAGTGTCCTGTGGCAATACAAACTTATTTTTTTTAAATAATCTAGAACCAGCAGTTTTTATTGTAAATTGTAAAGCATATGATTTTTTTGAAAATGTCGATAAATCTAAATTAAAATGCAATCAATTAGCTTCTGAGTTATTAAAATGTATATAATAATATGTATAGGTACTAAGGATTAAGGAATAAGGATTAAAGGTAGTCCTTAAAAATGTTTTTTTCTGAAATTTAGAAAACAAGTCATATTATTGGATATAGTATTTGTATTGTATATAATAGGAAATTATATTTTATAAATAAATTATAAGATTAGGTATGATGGATAAAAAAATTTTTTTTATAACATATTTAAATATTATCTATCGTACCCATTATCAAGGACCTATAGTTTGAACTGTAGTTTAACACAACTACTCCTCTGAATATATAGAAAATTGCAAAAAATTATATTCCTTGTAAAAATCTATAAAAATATGGGTGATTATTATTTGAAAAATGAAATTAGTATTGCATAGGACACCACTTAAATGATATAAAAAACCCAAATACCTTAGCACTTTAAAAATGTCAAGAAACAAAAACTGTGATTACTGTAAATTGTATCCCATTTAAAATTTGTTTTGTTAATTACGTCTTAGGATATTATTAAAAAATCAATATTAATTTCTTTCTATATTTCAGACTTGGGAACGGCAATACGGCATATCCGCATATCATTATTGTATTATTACTAGTATGGTTAATATTATTGGTTTTGGTGTTTAAATGTTGTAAAGGTACCTACATGGTGGTTAGAAAATGTTCTATTAAAAATAAGTAATTAAGCAACTTTTAAAAACTAAAAACTATTGATAATAAAATTCCCGCAAAATATCTAAAAGAACAATTTGTTGAATAAGTTGAAAAGAAAACAACGGAATGAGCATAATCGGTGAAACTTGCATAATATTCTAGATAAAAAAATAAAAATAATTCCTTATTCTTTATGACATATATTATCTTATTCAGTGGCGCAACCAAAGGGGGGGTCCCCGGGTCCAGACCCCCCCCCCCCTTGAGTATTTATAAAATGGAACATTTTTTAATTAATTTGGGAATATAATAATATATTGTAAGTATAATAAATTTTGTTTGGCGTTATTGAGATTTTTCCTTAAGGCAACTGCTACATCCGGCGATGAAAGTTTTATATTAGCAAGAGAAAATTGTGGTAGAAATGCACAATACATAAGTTGGAAATACAAAATGAAATTGTTAGCATTTGTTATGAAATTATTTCATCAAAAATTGTAAATAGAATTAATGAAAGTAATTTTTTTTCAATAATAGCGGACGAAACCGCTGATATATCGGGTACTGAACAGTTTGCTCTATGTGCCCGTTATTATGATAAGAAAAACAAAAATATTCGTGAAGATTTTTTAAAATTTATTCCAGTACATGATGTGAGTGGTAAAAGTTTAGCGAATCATATAATTACTGAATTAAAAAAATTGAATGTCGATGTAAACAATCTACGAGATCTTGTGAAATCAGAAATTTTACTATGGAATCGTTATCTAGATGATAGTAACATTAAAACAAAAAATGCCATCAACATATTGAATAATTGCAATTCAGATTTATTTCCAAATGTTTCTAAGCTTTTGCAAATACTGGTCACACTTCCTGTCACATCTTGCGAAGCTGAAAGATCATTTTCTACACTCAAACGCATTAAAATTTACTTAAGAAACTCAACGTCCGAATCGAGATTGAATGGACTAGCTGCTCTCAATATTCACTATGATATTGATGTCAAGTCCGAAGAAGTAATACAGCGTTTATCGAATTTAAAGCGTCGTTTAGACTTTATTTTATAATTTTATTTGATATATTTTCATTATATTTTTTTTTATATATACATTTTATTATTAATATGGTAACACAAATAAAAAATACATTTATTATTAACACAATTATTTATGTTTATATCTGTTGTAATATAATTTTGGACCCCCCCCAAAGGATATTTCTGGTTGCGCTACTGATCTTATTGATTAATTTTTTTCTTATTAACAATAACACCCTTTTTTTATCTGTTTAAAAGTGGAATTTTCAAAGTCTGTCAAATAATACTAGAGTTTAATTATTATTTGACACAATATTTTTCATAAAAAGTTATATGCGGGGTTATTAAATGTATCTTAAATTATTTTTCCAATTTCATGAGCGAGTCCCTTTTTATGGGTAGTTTTCCGGGATAAAATGAGTAGCTTTTAACCATTTCCCCGAGGTTGTTTAAAGTTTAAATAAGTAATGGTGAACACCGAATAAAATTAATTGATATACCTAGGTAAGTACCTAGTTTTTATCTTGATTGTTAAGCATTTTCCTAACATGCACACACACTTTTCCTCTATGTATAATATTAGCCAGTATATTATAAGATAGAATAGGCAAAATCTCTCCAAAATCCTGTGAATAGGATGGTTAAAATATGGCACAATGTGTAATAATACTAAAAAACACACATTCTGTAATATACCAACTGCTTCACGTTTTGTTGTATAAAATTATATCGTAAAAAATATGTTAGAGTTTAATCGATTTTGTACCTATAATGTCTTGCACGTTTTTTCAATGACGAAAAGCTATTGGTTACTTTGAAATATAAATTCATTAGGGAAAATAATAATAATACATTCAGAATGTTGGATTGCTAGAATAATAATAGTATTATTATGACTGTATTTAACTAAAAACCTATAATATGATGTTTTGTAGCTAAATAGAATAATTTATTTATATATATTACCTATATTTATTATTAATTTTCGTGTTGTCATAAAATATATAATTTTCGGTGTAATATACTAGGTTATATTAAAACTCATCGAATACATTATGTTCATTAATATTCTCCTAACCTTGTATTAAAATTCCGTGTCGTTCTATACCACTTCCGCCCTATCTATGCTGCAGATATTTGCGGTGTGTAGTTGGTAAGATATGAGAAAATACAATCCGTATTAGTGTGAGGTCATATTATAATTTAAAACGACGTTTCCTGAGCGTTTTAAATGATTTCATGGTAGTCTTTTTTTTATTCTTTCTTAGTTAAACTTTATATTAAAATACGATCTTAAGAGGACGTCGCACCCGCATGTGTTGTCTCCGTCTTACAAACGTACGACATGGGACATTTTCGTTTGATAGTTTCCATAAGGTGCTGTCAGTTTTGATATTAGAGTGAATTTACCTATTATCAAACTTTTAGGTAATAACATTATCTGTGTTCTATCGTCGGTTTTTACGATATTTAAATTTTTAAGTGAGCATTTCCAAACATTAATATTTTACATGCCTACTTATAACTCACTTAAAAATTAAAATATCGTACAAAACCAACGGGAGAACACGGATAATGTTGTTACCTAAAAGTTTGATAATAGGTCTATTCACTCTAAAAGTCTAAAATCAAAAATGACAGCACCCTATTGAAACTAGCAAACGAAAATTTACTATGTCATACGTGTGTAAGACGGGATTGCAAACGGACAATTATTTCAACCAAAACGTACCAATCTTTTGTCCGCATCATATCTGATAACGCCATAAGACTTCTGAAAACTGATCTGAATTAGTTAATATGTGAACTTGAGATCGGGCAGGCAACTTTTTAAAAATGTTGTAGGGATATCGTCTTCTGTAATAATTACTATAACATGTACACTATACAGGCATCTGGAATAATTTCATAGATTCGTTATACCTACTTACATCACATAAAGCAATACATCGTACATTAATTTGTAAAATATAAGTATCTAGTAGTTTATCATATTATCTAGGTAGGTACATGGTTAAAAAACGAAAACCTACATATTTATTTCAGTTAATTTAATCTAATCAGTTATTTTATATTTATAAACTAATATTAATTATACGACTAATATCGCTATGTACCTATACATTTAACGGTTAGATAATAATTTGTTAAAATACATCAAACACGAATTCAAATTTTTTCGGGTAAAATAATTGCATAAAAATTGACTAGAATTGGGATTTTCAACCAACGAAGGAAACAAAAAACAAGATTGTGAAACGGTTTACTTAGGTAGCAGAGCCATAGCCAGGGATGGGGGAGTTGGAGGTAAGGGCTCCCTGCATTTTTTTTTATAAGCAACGATGTCATAAAGTAACAGGTGATAAATATTCTATTTCTATAGAAACTATAAAAAAAAAATAAGTACCCTCCACTACAAAATAAAAAAATGTTCTTGCTTCTGCACTGTAAGGTGTACTATGTATTAATATATTATAGCACGTAGACTCATAAGTCAAATAAGTGTATAATATCTTAAATAAGTCTAATACTTATATAATATGTGTCTTATTGAACCATTATTTTTCAGTGGCGGAATCCTGGGACCGATATCCGACCGGCATACTAGTGGGCAACCAATATCACATGGGAATTTACGACGAATGTGTGGATGTACGTCATCCGGTGATAGGACAGTATTGCTTGTCTGAAATAAAACTAATCCCACCGAAGGGCACAGATTACAGTTTCAACAGAACGGAAGATCTAGATGATTTCGGGAACAAAGATGCGTGGAAAACAGTACTCGGAGTATGTGTAATCAATTATTAATATATTATAATATGTATTGTTTAATATTAAAGGTTTTTTAAAAGTACCGATGCAAAATATATAAAATTATAGTTCACTAAATGCAAAGCGTTTGAAAATTGTTTACGATAATGATTGAACCATCAGTTGAATCCTCATACACCGCTTTTACTAATATACCGGTCCACTTCATGTTTCCACCAGGACAAAATAAGTGGTGATTTTCAGTTACTGAGTAACTCTGATACGGTAAAAAACAATATATCTTTATATTCATACTATATATTTATACTAAACGGGCTGCATCACAGAGCTCGCGACTATCAATGCTTTTGGTATAGGATGGACCGGTCTATATAACTTATAAGTAGTAAAAGCCAAAAGGTCCATACGTTGAACAGCATGGTTTGCTTTTATTATTATATTTTATATTATAAAAATTATATCACGTAAGTACGTGACCTATCTGGCCGATCGACGTGTTTCTCTTAGATCATATTCTACCAATCAAATGTTTTTTCTGTGTATTATGTACCTAATATTGCCACAAATTAATATTTATTTTAATTTGTATAATATTATTATAAAATAAAAATATAGATCCCTCTATATGAAACCGCTAATATTGTCATAAAATAAGTGAAGGAGTGGTTTGATAACAATTTACTAGGGTTAAATATTAATAAATCAAAATATATTTATTTTAATAATGAACAGATACGTCTTATTAACTCAGATCATAAACTGTGTCTTCACTCAAGATACTGCAATGGTAATTGTAAGAATTGTATAATTATAGAACAAATGCGCACCGTTAAATATTTAGGTTTAACAATTGATAGTAAATTAAAATGGAATGATCATATTTATAATTTAACTAAGGCTATTAAAATTGTTTTTAAGTTTTTAATGATATTAGATTTATGGTTAACACAGTCACTAAACGTTAAAACGTATACTAAACTTGTCTCTCGTTCAATCATTCATCATCATTACATATGGAATTTGTATTTGGGGTCAAGCATATATGACTCTCATAGGTATCGCCTAAAAATTACTTTAAATCAACTAATTACATTTTTATTGATTAAGCCTATTTCTTATAGCAACAATTTAGCGTATTTAGAACTTAATGTAACGTCTATTGATAATCTATACCTAAGTATCACCCTAAATAGCTTATTCAGATTTAAACAAAACATTACCCAGTTGTATCACTCTTATAATACACGTTATAAAGATAATGTTAATATAGGTACCTGTGAAACATTTTAAGAAACAAATTGGTCTCAAATGTTGTATATCAGTTGCTATTCAAGTCTGTAGGTCATGTTATAAAATTAATATTTTTGACTTTTTTAATCTATAATATATGTTTATATTATTTATAAAAAAAATAGATTTTTCTAAACTTAAGTCACTATAATCCTATCTATGTATTTTTATTTTGTTATTTTTTTACTTAAGCTTTTGAAAATATTTACTATGTAATTTTTATTGATTCTCTCTATTTTTAATTAACTTTACTGTTTATACTTAACTCATATATTTTAAATCCCCACCACAAGCATTACGCTTATAGGGGAGTTTGTTGATGTATTAATTTGTTATTTCTTTTGTATTTTGTTGTTTGCAAGAAATAAATTATTATTATTATTGTTCGCGCAATAAGCAATTAGCTTATCGCGGAAGACGACTCTGCGCGACGGCGAAATCTCCCTTCTCGTCCAAACACCACTCCGTCCTTAAATTATTTAAATTATTCTAAAATGTTATGTATATTTATTATCTTTGTTTTCTCGTTTGTGTAAATAAGTATTGGTCAGCTTTTGGACAATCTTATTATCATTTTCACATATCAATATTATCTGTTCTTTGTTATTGTTTACGTTTTCGGCCAACGCCCTTGTTTTTTTGTTTTTTCGTATTATTGTTGGTGTACGTACAAAAATTATTCTTTTGTTTGTCCCGCTATTACAGCGGTGGCTTTTCGTCGTTGTTATTATATTTTTTAAGTCGCATTGTGCGCATAGTATTTATCAAAATTATTATTATTATTATTGTTACCAGAGATTCGCCGGATCATTGTGATCCAACAATTATTGTTATTTATATCGTCAGTTATCCGTTATTGTAACGGACAACGCAATTTGTGTTTCAAAAATAAATATCCATCGTTACCAGCAATATTCGTGAGTTATTTTAAATTAATTATTAACATTCGTCTGGTTGCTGGAAATTGTCCGACATCGGACTTGGTGCCATATGTTTTGCGTAAGTCCGCCAGCAACAAATACGTTGTGTGAGAGGCCGCCCAGGTCGTCCAGATCTGTCTCCAGAGAGTTGTTTTGCGTAAGTCCGCCAGCAACAAATACGTTGTGTGAGAGGCCGCCCAGGTCGTCCAGTGTGTCGGGTCACTCCTCAGAGGGACTACCATTATTACAATCGTCTGCCTTAATTTTAAGCTAGTGTTAAGTCCCTGATCTGTGTGAGCTCTGTGGTCATTGCACCAAACCGATTCGACCACAGAGACCCCCCTCGATAACTAAACTGTACTTCCTGACTCCCATGTACTACCTCCCGTCCACGTCATAGAGTTCGTCGTCGTGAAATTGATTGCCTAATGTCACTTTGGTCAGGCGTAGATTGGGTTGCCTACTCAGAACAATAGTAGGCGTTTCTCTGACGTTTCCCAAACTTGGGTCTTTCGCTCTCGGTTAGCACCGAGTGGTCCTTCGGTCTGTGCCCCCCGTTCCGGGCGTAAACATTTTTGGTCCTTCGGGCCGGATGGTTTAATAAAAACCGCGACTATATATTACACCATTTTTTTGTACACGATCAATTTTGTTAGTCTTGGTATACCGTTGATTGTAGTACCTACATCTGTAAAGTCTGTACTATCAACGACGTTGCCTAACTAGGTTCAGTGAAAAATCTACGCTGTTGCTCGTATTTGATATCCACGAGCATTATCGCTACTTTGTATAACTGCAGTTGCATTTAAAATAAATTCGGAAAAAATGTCGACAACTAGTTACAGTGATGCAAAATCACGTGTTCTTCGTTGTATTACCAAATTGAAAAGCTTTGCTCAAGCGTCTATCGATTTTAATAATGACCGCACAAATTCTGGTAAACGAGCAAAAATTGCAAAAATGGTCAGTGAGCTCACCCCTCTTCGAAATGCTATTGAGGATGATGTCCAACGAATGGAGTCAGCCGTGAATTCCAAAACAGCCCCTGAGGATATAACTGATAATAGTGAAAGTCAAGCTCTTATTACGTCATTCGACGGCTTCTATTATGAGTTGGCTGCTTTCGCTGATGTGCACAAGTTAACAATGTCCCCTTCGATGGACGTAGCAACGTCTTCTTTCACACAACAAAACAGTAGTATACAGAATTTATCAGCTTTTCAGCTACCTAAGCGTTCATTTCCTACATTTTCCGGTGTGATGACAGAGTGGCAGAGTTTTGATGATTTGTTTAACTCTATTCTGTCACACGCTCCTGAACTGCCAGACGTTGAACGTTTTGAATTTCTGAAAATGTCTTTAAAGGGTGAAGCCTTGTCATTGGTTTCCCATCTTGCGTTAACGGCTACAAACTATTCTAGTGCGTGGAAAATCTTGCGTTCTCGTTATGGCAACAAACGTGATCTAGCCCGCATTCACCTCGATGCTCTTCTTGCTAACCAGAAGGTTAAGGCAAATGATGGTACATCTATACAAACTCAGATCAATACGATTTTAGAGAACACTGCTGCTTTGGACAACCTCGATTTCGTGACACGCCAGTGGAGTCCGCTTCTGGTGCATGTCGTTGAAAAACACCTCGATTACGAGCTACGTGCTAGGTGGGAATTGGTCGTTGGGGATAACCATTATCCACAAATATCTGAATTTGTCGACTTCCTGCGTACGCATCTGCGATCTGCGGAAATTTATTCCACTTGTACCTTAGTTGACCGGTCAGACAGTGTATCCAAACCCCACAAGTCAGTTAAACAACCAAGTTTCAAACCTCGTTCATCTTCCACCGTTCTAGCAACTACTTCTAGTCAATCACCAGTCAAGCCGTGTCCACTCTGTAATGCGCCTCATTCAATAAGATTATGTAAACAGTTTACTGACAAACCTCCAAATGAACGCTTTAATATCGCAAAGACTCATCGTTTGTGCATAAATTGCCTTGGATTCGGTCATTCTTCAATGAGTTGCACCTCAAAGTATAAATGTCAGTCGTGTAAACGAAGTCATCACTCGTTGTTACATTTTGACGCAACTACTGCTGCCACTACGTCCTCAGAACCTGTGCCCTCAGGTGGTGTCCCACATTCTGCGACATGTCTTGTGCGAGGCCAGCCTCAGAGTGTCGTGTTATTGTCTACAGCCCTTGTTGATGTATATGCTGCTGATGGCCGACGCCATGTCTTGAGAGCCTTGTTGGATTGCGGTTCACAAGCCAGCTTCATCACCGAGAAAGCGGGTTGTGCTCTAATGCTTCGTCGGTATCATTCACCTGTTAGTGTTTCTACATTCGCTAGTACAGTTTCGACGTGTGTTCGTGGGAAATGTAGTATAAATATTGTTCCCTGTGGCCTACAAGCACCATCAGTTTCTACTGACGTCTCAATAATTTCTAAAATCACTGGGCCCAGTCCTCAATCATCGTTAATAACTGGGCAGTGGACACATATTCAGAATTTACCCTTAGCAGATCCATCATACAACATTCCTGGTGCGATCGATTTGTTATTGGGAGCCGACCTGTTACCTTCGATTTACCTGGATGGTTTGCAAAGAGGTCTGGTTGGTGAACCTATCGCCATGAACACTATATTCGGTTGGGTTCTCTTGGGACCAATGGATTCATGTGATCGTTCTTCCATTACTACAATGTGTCTAACTATCTCAGAACCCCTTGATTCGCTATTGAAACAATTCTGGGAACTTGAAGAACTGCCTATCACCTGCCATTTGAGCCCCGCTGACCTTGCCGCAGAACAAATCTACCAATCAACTACAACCCGTTTAAGTTCCGGACGTTTTGTCGTCTCACTTCCGTTTCTTAAACCATTACCGTTGCTCGGCGATTCGAAGACGTTGGCTCTTCAGAGATTCAAGGCCCTTGAATTCAGACTAAATCGTAATAACACCCTAAAGACTCAGTACGCTGAATTTATGCACGATTACTTGACTGCTGGTCATATGGAGCTAATTCCGCCAGCGGAGCACGGAAATCCGTATCATTATTATATTCCGCACCATTGTGTTATCAAACCAGACAGCCTAACTACCAAATTGAGGGTGGTTTTTAACGCATCTGCCAAGACTTCAGCCGGTATATCACTTAATGAAAGTATGTACACGGGCCCCAAACTCCAACCCGACATACAACGTGTTCTACTACGTGCTCGTCTGTGGAAGTACCTATTCATGGCGGATATAAAACAAATGTATCGCCAGATCCTCGTTAGACCTGAAGACAGAGACTACTTGCGGATCTTGTGGAGATTTTCATCTACCTCTCCCATTGACGAATACCGTCTGTGTACTGTGACGTACGGAACATCAGCTGCACCCTTCCAAGCCCTCCGCACCGTCCGTGAGTTGTCCAATGTCGATGGCGCAAGTTGGCCGATAGCTGCTTCGGTCCTGTTGAACGATACCTTTGTCGATGACATTCTTACAGGAGCAAACACAACAGAAGCTGCTCTTGAATGTCAATCTCAACTAATCAATCTGTGTGCGATGGCGCGATTTCAACTGCGAAAATGGGCCAGTAATAATACTCAGCTTTTAGAGACTGTTGCTGACGATGCCCGTGCCATGTCTCCATCTGTTCTCTTTGATAGTAGTGAACACTCAAACCTAAAGGTCCTTGGTTTAAAGTGGGATCCATTAGCTGATACTTTCTCGTTTAAAGTGCACCCGTCGAAAGTTCACCCAACTAAGCGTACAGTGCTCTCAGATATTGCTAGGGTTTTTGATCCTTTAGGTTTAATGTCTCCTATCACCTTCTGGACAAAATACCTAATGCAACGCCTATGGACGTCAGGCGTGTCGTGGGACGATCCAATACCAGCTGACATAGAGACATCTTGGTCACGGTATCAGTCTGAGTTGCACTTGATTGAACATATCCCTATTCCACGACGTCTCACCTGTGATAACATGATTTCGATGCAGCTCCATGCGTTTTCCGATAGTTCAGAAAAGGGGTACGCTGCAGCCATTTATCTTCGAGTTGAAACTACAACAGAAATCCACTGCCAGCTTATAACCGGTAAGTCAAAGGTGGCGCCTCTCAAGAAAACCACGATTCCAAGGCTTGAGTTGTGTGGAGCTGTACTTGCTGCAAAGCTGCTTAAGTCGGTAACAACTACTTACAACGAGCGCTTGCAGATTGATGAAACCTATGCGTGGACTGATTCTACAACTGCCTTAGCTTGGATCCAATCATCACCGCATCGTTGGGCCACCTTTGTAGCCAATCGTGCTAGCCAAATCCAAGAGCTCACAGCACCATCAATTTGGCATTACGTCCCCACTCAAGAAAATCCAGTTGATTGCGCGTCTCGCGGGTTATTCCCCTCAGAACTGGTAAACCATCCCCTGTGGTGGACCGGTCCGGCTTTCTTGAAGGAATCGTCTGACAAATGGCCAACGTTATCTGTCCCACAAGGTAACGACCATAATCCTCTGACTCGTTCTGAGGCGAAGAAAGCTACGGTACTTCTCGTTAATGCTGAAGTATCCCTTGTAAGGTTGCTGACTCGATTTTCTTCGTTAGACAAAATTCTTCGTATTGTCTCATACATTTATAGATTCGTTGGTTTTCGCCCGTCAACTGCGATAACCGCAATTGTAAGCGCGGAAGAATTTGTACGCGCTCTTCACGGGCTCATCCGTGGTGTCCAACAAGAGATCTTTATCGATGACTTAACACGTCTAAAAAAGGGCGATCGTTGTTCAAAAACCCTCCGTCATTTAGATCCATTTATTGATGAGAATGGGCTACTCAGAGTGGGCGGTCGACTTCAGAATGCTGAAATACCATATGACCATAAGCACCCAATTTTGTTGCCATCCAGACACCGATTGACAGATCTACTTATTGATCATCATCATATTCGATTGAAGCATCCTGGCGCTAATTCCCTACAAGCCATTCTGCAAAGAGAATTTTGGATATTGTCATCCAGGAAGGCAATTCGTTCTCGGCTACGACAATGTATTTCCTGCTTTCGCACACGACCACGAAATGTGCAACCGAAAATGGCAAGTCTTCCAAATTATCGTGTCCAACAGATCAAACCGTTCGCCAGTACTGGAGTCGATTATGCCGGTCCCATTACATTAAAGGGAGGACGTCGATGCGCTCCGACATTGGCCTACATCTGCTTATTTGTATGTACTACAACCAAGGCTTACCATTTAGAATTGAGTTCCACATTGTCAACCGAAACATTCTTGTTAGCCTTTGCTCGCTTCTCATCTCGCCGTGGTCCCATAAAGGATATGCATAGTGACAACGGAACCAACTTTGTCGGGGCTTCCAAACTACTAACTCCATTAAAGACCTTCATTCATTCATCAACTTACCAAGACCGTGTATCCAGCTACTTAGGTGCCAAACAGATTCGTTGGCATTTTAACCCACCATCATCTCCACATTTTGGTGGATTGTGGGAGGCTGGTGTTAAATCTACAAAATCGTTGATTCTTAAATCAATAGGCACACAGCGATTGACCGGAGAGGAACTAACTACATTACTTACTCAAATTGAAGCAACGCTGAATTCACGCCCTCTGTGTCCATTAAGTAACGACCCTACTGACTTGGAGGCACTTACGCCGAGTCATTTCCTAACTCTTGAGCCGTCAACGTCACTTCCTGACCCAAACTTGGACTCCATCCCATTATCAAAACTACAGAGATGGCGTTTGGTCACTGATCTTCATCGTCACTTTTGGACACGTTGGAAAAACGAGTACCTTTCCAGTCTCCAAGCACGTTCAAAATGGTTCGGCAAAGGTGAACAACTGCGTATTGGTGATCTGGTTCTCATAAAAGAATCCACACATCCACTTCATTGGCAACTTGGAAGGATACGCACGGTGCATCCAGGGACTGATGGGCAGATACGCGTTGCTGAAGTAACTACACCCTTTGGAATCTTGAAACGTCCAGCCGTAAAGTTATGTCCATTGCCTACTCCTTGAAGGGACTCCTTCAAAGTGGGCGGTGATGTTCGCGCAATAAGCAATTAGCTTATCGCGGAAGACGACTCTGCGCGACGGCGAAATCTCCCTTCTCGTCCAAACACCACTCCGTCCTTAAATTATTTAAATTATTCTAAAATGTTATGTATATTTATTATCTTTGTTTTCTCGTTTGTGTAAATAAGTATTGGTCAGCTTTTGGACAATCTTATTATCATTTTCACATATCAATATTATCTGTTCTTTGTTATTGTTTACGTTTTCGGCCAACGCCCTTGTTTTTTTGTTTTTTCGTATTATTGTTGGTGTACGTACAAAAATTATTCTTTTGTTTGTCCCGCTATTACAGCGGTGGCTTTTCGTCGTTGTTATTATATTTTTTAAGTCGCATTGTGCGCATAGTATTTATCAAAATTATTATTATTATTATTGTTACCAGAGATTCGCCGGATCATTGTGATCCAACAATTATTGTTATTTATATCGTCAGTTATCCGTTATTGTAACGGACAACGCAATTTGTGTTTCAAAAATAAATATCCATCGTTACCAGCAATATTCGTGAGTTATTTTAAATTAATTATTAACATTCGTCTGGTTGCTGGAAATTGTCCGACATCGGACTTGGTGCCATATGTTTTGCGTAAGTCCGCCAGCAACAAATACGTTGTGTGAGAGGCCGCCCAGGTCGTCCAGATCTGTCTCCAGAGAGTTGTTTTGCGTAAGTCCGCCAGCAACAAATACGTTGTGTGAGAGGCCGCCCAGGTCGTCCAGTGTGTCGGGTCACTCCTCAGAGGGACTACCATTATTACAATCGTCTGCCTTAATTTTAAGCTAGTGTTAAGTCCCTGATCTGTGTGAGCTCTGTGGTCATTGCACCAAACCGATTCGACCACAGAGACCCCCCTCGATAACTAAACTGTACTTCCTGACTCCCATGTACTACCTCCCGTCCACGTCATAGAGTTCGTCGTCGTGAAATTGATTGCCTAATGTCACTTTGGTCAGGCGTAGATTGGGTTGCCTACTCAGAACAATAGTAGGCGTTTCTCTGACGTTTCCCAAACTTGGGTCTTTCGCTCTCGGTTAGCACCGAGTGGTCCTTCGGTCTGTGCCCCCCGTTCCGGGCGTAAACAATTATTATTATTATTTTAATTTTAATAATTTGTAGGTATAATTGATTTATGTTACTGTCTATACAAATATTGTGAAAATATAATATAATACAACATGATTTATATACTCTGTTCCACGAGAGAACATACCGGTTCAATCATGCCGAGAGAACAAATACGCCCTGTGTGCTATTAATTTTAAATAATACCTACATAATATTGTTTCAGTGGGGCGATTATCCGGACCAAGTGCAACGAAACAGTTTGAATTTAGGAATATGTATTCCGGCTTCTTGTTCAGCATTAGACCTGCAAACGGCACTGAAAAACCAACTCTACTCGGTATTCGCGCCAAAGGAGTTCATGGCCGTCGTCAAAGTAGACCCAATAATGTGCACGGTCAGAGGTGACATGTATCCCTACAATACAGCGTACTACGTCACCAGGTCATTCATCAATATTAATAATATCACGATATTTTACTTAAGTTAATTATTTTATATTTATGCCTTTTTATCGTATATGCATAGGTATATGCCAATGTTTATATAATTCGCATTGACGAAAGAAATTTTAATTTTAAATTCTCCCCAGCCCTATATTAAAAAATAAGTAGTGGGATGTTCTTATATTTATATAATATCATTACTTGCTCTAGATGTCTATGCCAAATTTTGTAGCAAATATAAATCTATCTCTTCATTTGATGTCATGGGAGCCTGTGATGAACGCCCTCCCCCCCTCACCAAAACGTACTTTACAATTATATTATTACCTATACGATTTTCACCATTTTTTTTCTGAAATATTATTTATAGTATACGATATGTATGAATTTGTACTCTCGTTCGCAGATACGATTAATATCAGTGCTTGAATTGGAAAAAAAATAGAAGGGGGATGCAAAAGTATAAAAGATATGTGCGTCCCCGAACATTTAAATGTCTTACTGTTAAGTGGTAGCATATGTCCCCCTCCCGCTACAATGACATTGTACACCATACACCAATAAACCTAACCTAACCCTGATACTATCATAGATATATAATATAGTGTACTTAAGAAGTTTCAAGTACCCACGAATAGTATTATACACTCACAACAAAATAACTAAAATAGGTATGCTAGGTTTTTTAATATGTAATTTCGTCCCAAATTTGAACTTAAAATGACCATAAAAATAAACTGTGCTTGTGTATTTTTTAGATTTTTTGGTAACAGAATTAACTACTTACGTGGAATCTTGTTTTAAATTTTCAATCCTTAGCTATAAAAACTGAACATTTTATAATTTATTAATTACGATGATTGATAATTTTCGAGATTTTGATAAATTTAGTCAAAATGCGATCTTTAAATGCTTATAGAAAAAAATTGTGCCTAATGTATTTTTAATATTTTTCAATTGCTATTGTAACAATATATCAGGAGCATTGTATTAATTTTTTACACTTTTTGGCCCAACAGATAAAACCTTATTGATATTTATAGAAAAAAAAAACTAAAAAAATTGAAAACTAAAAAGGTCCGTAAACGGCTCAAAAAGAGTCAAAATATTTTCAAAATTGTATGGTGTATAGGAAATGCTAATATAAACATTCAGTGAAATTTTCATGTATCTACAGTAATTCGTTTTTGAATTACAACAAAATAAGGAAATCGCCACATGAGAAATCGAGTGAATATCCAATGTTGTAAAAATTTGAATTTCAAACGCTCATAAAAATTTAATTTGACTTTCTTATAGAATTTTTTTTTTTGATAAATGTAGGAAATCTTATAAGGAATCTTGTATTACATTTTCATATCTTAGATTTAAAAAGAAAAATTTTATGAATTTCTAACTCGAAATAATTTGCAAATTGTTGTGATTTTTCCATATTTTGTCATTTTTTGAACTTTAAATGCTTAAAAAAAAAAACTGTGACTAACGATTTTTAATATTTTTCAAATGCCATTGTAACAATATAGTAGGAGCCTTGTATTAAATTTTCAAGTATTTTTACTCAACAAATACATTTTTATTGATATTCATAAAAAAAAAAAACTAATAAAATTGGAAACTGAAAATGTCCCTAAACAGTTCAAAATAAATCAAAATATTTTGATAATGTTATCGTGTATAGAAAATGCAAATATAAACAACCACTGAAAATTTCATGTATCTACGGTCATTTGTTTTAAAGTTACACCAAAAACCAAAATCGATTTTCTCGAAAACAGATTTTGTGTAAAAATTCCCGTTTTTCCTTAATTTTTCTTTTGTTTTTCCCAGCGCTTTTGAAAACTACTGGGAAATTTAAATTTTAACCTCCCCAATGCACCAACGATATTCACTTTCCATTCGAACAAGATACTGAAGTTGAAAATCGAAGCATTATTTCGACTACTTATCGTGTACACAGACACAAAAAATAAATAAATAAAAAAAAAAAAAAAAAACACACATCATTGTAAAATTAATACATTCATCGTTTCATTCAGAATCTAAAATAAAAATATTTCCATTAATTTAGTACAATTTTTAAAATGATTCCCGTCCCCAGCGTCCCATTAAAAGAAATTAGAAGGGGTACGCTAAAATATTTTTAAAATAGAAGTGGGACTCCGTCCCCCCGCGTCCCCCCCCCAATTCAACCACTGATTAATATAAGATATATTAAAACAGTTTGTTATTATATTGTTTCAGCATGTTATTTTTACTGATTGTTTTAATTTGTTGTGGCACAACGTTGTATCATTTTATAAGAATATCATGCCTTAAAAATTCAAAAGAAACCAGCAGTAAGTGGTTATCGTTTATTATTTATTAGTTTTTTTTATTATTTTTAAATTTTTAAACAATGCACATTTACTATGTATAATTTATTTTATTTTATCAACAGATGAAAGTTTCAATTCATTTTGCAAAACATTTTCATTTATTGAGTCAAGCATAGCATTGGTAAAATTCGATAAATACAATGAATTAAATGCACTGTATGGTACTAAATTTATAACGATGATTGTCGTTTTGTTGGGTCACCGATTGTTTTATTTAATAGGAAACCCTATGAACAACCCTAAATTTGTAGAAAGTGTAAGTTACAAAAATGGTTATGAAACAAATTTTTATGAAAATTTTACGTTACACTAGAGTTATCATCCTTGTCAGTTTAGGTTCCAATAGCAGTGCAAATATAAGTATAGGAACTTTATTTTCAAATATTTATCCGTGTCCCGAAGGGAGTTTTTCAAAATAATGTTTTACATTCTCAAATTATTTTATCTGAGTTCTTAGGAAATTTCAACACCTACTGCCCCCATCTATACAAATAATGTATAATTACAATACTGAATACGAGTCATTTTTTCAAATGAACGTCCAGGTTTTCATTATAATATCGTGTAGAGTCAATTAAAAAAATTAAGACATCTTTATATATTCAACACCGTTCTGCCAAAGAATTTCCCCCCTTGACTAAATCTACAAATGAAAAACTTGTTACCGTCCAACCATAATTTGTTCTACAAAAATACTTTCCTGGGTTTGTTTAATTAAAACCTCAAGTGTAAGGTACAGTTTATAACATTTTCTACTTAAATTTCTTTAGATGTATTTAAAGTTTTTAGGGATAAAATTATATACATAGGTACAAATTAAATCAATGTGAATATTAAACTGGTATTCACTATTCCTGAATCCTGGCAAAAAATTCGATAAATATATTTTTTCTATCAAATTCTTTTTAGCGTTAAAATTGAAGTCAAAGGTCGCGAAAAAATATCGTTCAGTGTAAAATTATCAAATTCATTTGATATTGTGTGTTACGTATAGGATAATTAATTAATTACAGATGTATCTCAACGGACCAAATATTATATTGACTAGTACAAACATGGTCGACCCGTTTTTTTTCATAAGTGGTTTCCTCATGCACCTGAATATTAGTAGGTCATTCCAAAAAGAAAAATCCGGATCGGTTTTGAAGAAAATCACATTACCAATTATCCACCGAGTAATTAGGTAAGTTACAATGATGCAATTAATTGGGCCCAAAATGTCATGTATGCATGTAATATTCTCCAAACTAACACTAATATTGTATTATACGCGACAGTATCATAACCACGCCATTGACTTACTTTAAATGCTAAATTATTGACATATTTTAAAATAATATTCTTGAATCATCCTGTATAGAATGTTACCGGCGTATTGCGCGATGATGGCGATCACGGCTCACATCGTACCCCACCTAGGAGACGGACCACTGTGGCCACAGAAAATATGGGAAGAAGCCGAAATATGCAAAAACTATTGGTGGACCAATTTGTTGTTTATAAGCAACTTGGTCGACGTCAAGTATGAAGTAAAACGCGGCTATATATATTTTACTTTAATCATTAGCAATATTATAATATATTATTATAGACTAGAGTGTAAAACCTGTAAAACCATCGTATTTGATTAAGGGGATCGGTGGTGGTATTTAATTAAGGAGTTTAGTATAGGCAATATTTGAAGTGAGTGAGTGTGTTTTAAGATTTTTGCTACTGTGTGTGTAGTAAATGATTATTAGTGTGTGTACTCGCATTAAAAAGTAACCACCGCGATCGTGAACGATCCAAAACGTGTGTCTTATTTGACTAAAAGTATGTACTTTTTGTCCATCCTACCGATCGATCTATAGTAATAATGCGATAATACTTTTAAAAACTGATTTGAATTCGACAATATAATGTTTACTTGGGATCGGTCAGTTCACATTTTAAGATTTCTGATTTAAATTCAGAAGAATCAAAGTTTGAAAATTCTAAAATTTCAAAATACTCAAACTAAGGGGGGGGGGGGTATAAAATTGGGAAATTGGGAAAAGATAGAAGAGACATAATAACGAATTCAGATCAGTTTTAAAAATTATTATCGCATTATTGATCACAAAAGATTGGTATGTTTTGGCTAAAATAACTGTCCGCCACCAATCTCCTTAATAATAATTATACCGGCATGCAAAAATGGTCTAATACGAATACCTACCTATATTAATTTATTCATTATGTCTGTATTTTTTTTTATTTCTAATTATAATGCTTAAATATAATGATCCAGTGCCTCATAGTAAGCTGGTACGTATCATGTGACGTTCAGTTTTTCGTAATTGGAGTAATAATCGTTTACGTTTACACGAAGAACACTAAATACGGGATTTTATTGCTCGGTACAGTACTGGGTTTGTGTATATGTGTGCCGTTTTTAGTAACGATTTTTTCAAAAACAGACGGAATAGATAAAATGCAGTTTCCGTAAGTCATATTTAGAATAATATTAATAATAGATACTCAACACCATACATAATAATATTATAGTCTATTGTGAAATCATAAATTGAATAAGGTATACTGTAGTAAATATAGGTACGTCGTACGTATTACCTATATATATATATATATATATTATCTTGAAAAATATGAAATGTTTAGAAATCAAGGATTTCTTTTTTTCATAATATGTCAGTAGTAGGATTTTAGACTTAATATTTGTAACAAAATTAATAGACTTGGCCCGTGAGCTGTCGTTGAAGAAAAATTCAAAAGTTATTATTTGTATGTGTTTGACAATATTATATAAAATAGTATATAAAGTACACAATAATATGATTAAATTATTTAAATGCATCGTGAGTATTTTATATACATACGTTACGTCATAATCAATACATTAATGATTAATATAATGTTTTTTTTTTTAAAATTACTTTTAACCTTGAAAATCAATATTTTAATTATTGTCGAAAAATAAAAATAAAAATGATTAAGACATTCAATATGGGTACTAAGGGTACCTATAGTAAAATCTAATCTAGACATTCTGATGAATTGTTGTCTATAATAATTTAATTATAACCTATAGGTATGTAATAAACTAATAACTAATTTATTAAATATTAAACTAATTTCAGATATTTAGAAAATTTAAGAGTTTTCATTTCATTAAATAAAACATATAGATTGAGTTACATGCGAGCCACGCCTTTCTTCTTCGGTTTAGCCTCGAGCTTCGTCGTGGAAAAGTTGAAGAAAAATAAATTTAAATGTTCACAAGTAAGACCATACTTTGCGAAAAACGCTTAAATTATATATTTTTATCGGATTAGAATAACTCAAATTTTGTTAATTTCGTGTATAGATGACAGTCTACATTGGAACATTCGTTGTTTTCGTGATTGGCGTCTGTGTTCAGCTTTATGGCGCCAAATTCTACACTCGACAATTACCTTATTATCCTTTGGAACATGCTTTATACTCGATCGCTAGCCATTGTATATGGACACTTCCATCCGTGTGGATTGCCATTTGCTTGTTCACGTCTGGATATGGTAATATACATTTCATTAAATAAATGGGTTTTGAGTTGTTTATGACTCGTGTTTTAATAATAATACGGTATAACTGAGGAGCTTTGGGTCAAATTTAGATTTTGTTTTTCACTTTCATGTTATTACCACACATTAATAACGATTTTTCTACAAAATTCTCAGAACAAAACAAAATAGTTTGGACATTCTTCGTTTCAATTAAGCTCATTTTATGAACGTATATTTACAGTGTACAATATTACATTATAATCCAGACATTTTGGCCTTACGAAATCGAAGAATCACAGCATACAATTAATTTGTACCTATAATCACTCCACTAAAATCACTCCGCCGCCCCTGTACGGTAGGTGGCAATAGTTATACCTCATCATCCAATGATCTTACCCAATACTCGTAGGTCACTGTAAATTATATGTGTTGAATTTGAATTAAATATGATAAATTATTATCGAACATGAACAAATCGCTGTCTCCACTTCTCTGATTTGTCGAAGATTGATGAATCGTTGTATACCGAGGATGAAGATTAGAAGAACTTGATAAACTTATTTTGAGGGGCTGAAGGCCCAGTTCTATTATTTCATAAGCATTATTATTTAAATTAATATAAGATAACTTAGATACCTATAACAAATAGCTAACAAATTTACTTTAAAAACCTTCAGCCTTCAGGCGTATAAATAAAAAGTAAAACATGCATCATTATTGTTAAACCAATAAATAAATATAACAAATATAATATAATAAAAATGTATAAACTAATCTATTTTATTAAAGTTATTAATATTCTACAAAGTACAATCTTCTATATTCCTCATAAGTATACGGTGGTGATATTAAATTATAATAAATTGAGAGGGCTAAGCTCCCCCTCCAAGCCCACATATTATGTCGCAGCCTGCAATGAAAAACCGTACTAACTATATGTCTACATGATCGTCAAAATTGCGAATTATTTTATAGACATAAAAGTTGACTCAAGTCTTAGCTCATAACCGTTTTTTGTACTCACTAATTTATCAATGAATTTATTCATATTTAACACATTCATTACAGTGACCTACTTAATGACGAGTGAAAAATAACACTTTTCTTATTATACATTCCGACATTCGTCACTTCAGTCAGCATATAAATTCAAATAAAATGATTTTTTTTTCTTTTACAGGTCCCCTTTTGAACTTATTTAACAACAGAATTGTTGTGACTTTGGGGAGACTCTCGTACTCCGTTTTCTTGGTGAATGTCACAGTCATGATGATGTCTCAAAGTTCTCAGAGATTACCTGTATACCTTTCACCAAAATCCGTGGTAAGATGACATTTTGTGTTGATACATTTAAAATTTAAACTAATCGATGAGTTCAAATTTAAACTCGATATGTCTCGAGTTTGGATGACTGACCACTGAATTTTATTATAATAATTCTATGGTATGAAACTCATTCGTTTTCAGATCGATGCTTGGATATATGATACATTTAAGTGTTACGTGATGGGCTTAGCGTTATACTTGGTCGTCGAAGCACCATTCGCTAAATTGGTTAAACCATGGATTTGACAAGGGTAAATAATTATAGGCATAAGATAATTTCCTAGGTATGTAACACATTGTATTTACCTCTGAAGAAATGTTGAATTGTCTACTAATGTATCCATGTTACTTTTGTAGAGAAAAATTCCTGAACAGAGAAATGAACCATGTCATACACCAACTGAAATGTTTATAATCGTACATCTATGTAGTATGTACCTACTATACAACAAATTGTATTATCTACTTATATTCTCTTATTAATGATATTATTTTTTGTAACTATTTAGTTGATATTGTTGAGTTTTTTTTTATGTATGTTAATACATATCATTTGAATCACAAGATAAATTTTAAAACTATTGTATTCGCATTTTGTTACATAGATTATTATAGGACATTAAGCTCAATAGTTTAATATTTATAAGATATTTATTATAATATTTGTATGTATCATTCATGTTATAAATATATTGTAAATTATATTATTAAAAAGGTGGGCAAGTGGGTGTCGCTCTGCTGTACAGTAGGTTACAAGTGGGTCACTGTATAATGGATGGTATTAAATTTGAATTCAATGATATAATATCATTGTATAAGAAAAACGATTCTGAGCGGTGATGGTATGTCAGTCTATGTATAAGGCATATTATATACATATCTATGGTATTAAACAAAAAATTGACCTATAATAGGTATCTATAATAAATTCCAAATTAATCATATCACAATATCCATTAGATACTTATAACGCGTTATACATCAACAAAAACCGTGATACTATCATAGATATATAATAGTACACTTTAGAAGTTTCAAGTACCCACGAATAATATTATTCAATCACAACAAAATAACTAAAATAGTTATTCTAGGTTTTTTAATATGTAATTTCGTCCAAATTTGAAATTAAAATGTCTGTAAAAAATAAGTGTGTTTATATATTTTTTAGATTTTTTGGTTACAGTATGAATTATTTAAGAGAATCTTTGTTTTAAATTTTCAACTCTTAGTTATAAAAACTGAACATTTTATAATTTTTTAATTCCAACGATTGATTATTTTCGAGATTTTGATAAATTTTGTCAAAATTCCAACTTTAAATGCTTATAAAAAAAATCGTGCCTATGTATTTTTAAAATTTTTCAACTGATATTGTAACAATATATAAGAAAGCTTGTATTCAATTTTCAGACTTTTTGGCCCACCAAATAAAATTTTATTGACAATTATAAAAAAAAAAACTAAAAAAATTGAAAACTGAAAATGTCCCTAAACAGCTCAAAAAGAGTCAAAATATTTTCAAAATTGTATGGTGTATAGAAAATGCTAATTTAAACATTCAGTGAAATTTTCATGTATCTACAGTTGTTCGTTTTTGAATTACAACAAAATAAGGAAATCGCTACATGAGAAATCGAGTGAATATCCATATGTTGTAAACATTTTAATTTCAAACGCTCATAAAAATTTAACTTGACTGTCCGGTAGAGATTTTTTTATTGATAAAGGTAGATAATCTTATAAGGAATCTTGTGTTTCATTTTCAAATCTTAGATTTAAAAAGAAAAATTTTTACGAATTCTTAACTCAAAATAATTTGCTAATTTTCGTGATTTTTCCATATTTTGTAAATTTTTGAACTTTAAATGCTTATAAAATAAAATTGTGACTAAGGATTTTTAATATTTTTCATCTGCCTTTGAAACAACATATTAGGAGCCTTCTATTAAATTTTCAAGCTTTCGCAAACAACAAATAAAATTTTATTGATATTTCTAGAAAAAAAACTAAAAAAAATGAAAATGAAAAATGAAAATGTCCCTAAACAGTTCAAAATAAATCAAAATATTTTGAAAATGTTGTCGTGTATAGAAAATGCAAATATAAACAACCAGTGAAAATTTCATGTATCTACGGTCATTTGTTTTAAAGTTACACCAAAAACCAAATTCGATTTTTTGGAAAATCGATTTTGCGTAAAAATTCCCGTTTTTCCTTAATTTTTATGTTGTTTTTCCCGGCGCTTGTGAAAACTACCTGAAAATGTTTACTTTTGACCCCCCAAAGTACCAACTAGATTCACTTTCCTATCAGAAAAGGTACTATTGAAGAAAATCGAAGCACTTTTACTGTCCCAAAACGTGATGACAGACACAAAAATATAAATAAAAATATAAAAACATACATCATTGTAAAACCAATACATTCATCGCTCCGCTCAGAATCTAAAATGTAAATGTTATAATAGTAGCAGCAAAATCAGGAGCAGGATACATCTTGCTTTTATATTAAGAGGACTTGATACCCGTGTGTGTTGTCTCCGCCTTTCAAGTGAGTAACATAGCAATTTATATGCAAAGCAGAACACTTATAGCTCCGTTCGCTTAAAAAATATAGTGAATTGACCTATTATAAAATCTAAAGGTAAGATTATTATCTAGACAACCTTATGGGCTTTTTATTATATTTGAATTTTAAAGCGAGTTATGAGTATTTTAAAACTGTAAATTGTTTGTACATTTTAAAGTACTCATAACTCGCTTAAAAATTAAAATATAAAGCTCATGAGGATGTCTAGATAATAAACTTACCTTTAGATTTTATAAGAGGTCAATTTACTCTAATTTTTAAGCTAATGGAGCTACACGTGTTCTACTTTGCGTATAATTTGGTATGTTATGCACTTGTAAGTCAGAGACAAAACAACGAAAATTATTAAGTTTTGAAAACTAAGTGTTTGAATATTAAATAACAAATTGAACAAAGTTTAAATCATATAGAGTTGGCATCATTAATTATTTTGAAAAATACTTAGATTTTTCAATATTTTAACCTCTTAAAAGTACCAACTCGATCCAATTTTCTACCAGAAACCACTCTCGAAATATAAAATCAAAGTATTTTTTTTTAACTACCTATAAATCGTGTAAAAATACACAAATAAAAACATCAATATAAATTCAATACTGTTCATTATCCGTCGTGTCCGTTCTGCAGTTAAGTTTAAAAAAAAGAAATTTAATTTGAACAATCTAACAGTTAATCGATTTTCTTAAAAATATGAATTTGTTTCATGTTGATGTTCAATATTATTTGAAGTAATGATGAGTGTTGAGTTCACATGTCAACAGTGTCTTTCGCTAAATATTATGAACGTTAAAATAGCTGGTGGATAGACTGCTATATTGTAATCGTTAAACATAATACAATAAATCATCAAAGGGAAGTCAGCTCAAAATTAACACATCGTATTTATTCAATTGAAATTATAATTAACTTCACAGTATAAATAGAAGGTGTGAATATAAATTATTTGTTTGTATTAATTTATTATTTCCCAAAGGTTAGATCATGTAAATTAGGTGTGATAAATGATAATATACTCTTAAATAACATTTATATAACAAAATTACCATCTATTAAATATTTATATAACAATGGGTATTTCCCGTCCAACAACATGATGGACGGATATTATATAATATTTTTCAATGTGGTTAATAATATTATAATAATATATACAGTATCTACTATATACAGGTATCTAATACTCATATACCTACTGTGAATTTCAATTCCGAGCGAGCTCTTCCCCGATTATTAGTAACACTTGTGATTTCAAGCTAACAATAAGAATAAAACTTGTGCAAAACATATTATGATGATGCCGTGTAGTCAATAGTCATATTATAATAATATTGTGTGTAAAATAATATAAATTTGATTTTTTTTTCCCAGATCGTCCCTTAAAGTGTTTTGTTTTTCCGTAAAAAAATTACTTTAACGAAGACAATAATAATAATTTAACAGTATACAATACAAATCCATAATATTATTATGTCACGACCGCTACTGACGATTGCTTTATTTGCGTTTTAAAATCATATTTGGATAACATTAAAAATATATTAAAAAAATATTATGTTTGGTTATGTACGATAGGCCCTATAATTGAGATTTGGTAAGGCCGAAGCCTGAAACCATAGGTACTATTATAAAACGGAATAAGCCTAAACAAATTTAATAAATGTTTGAGAGGGCTGTTAGAGTAGTTGGAGGAGCTTGGCTACATTTGGAATTATTTTCAGTATGGTACGGTTTATGATACGTAAGATTTTATATGTCTCTTTGTGACAAAACTGTAACTAAAACTATAATTGACATATAAATTCTAGAGTGTAGGAAGAAATGAAAATTAGTAGATACGTGTTCGTTTATCACGGTGTCCGCATATAACGTTATTCGTTATTACTTATGTATTAACCTAGTATTGTGTGCCAGTATTTTTAAAAATTAAGTTGTTTTATTTCACAATAGCTTAAACATGTCCAAAACATGCAATAGTGTCCTCTGTCATTTAATTAATTAAACAATACATATAGGTACCTATCTAATATCTATATTCGAATAAGTAAACCCGTGTATCAATTATTTTTATCATGTTTATATACCTACTTATTATTTTTTAGTTTTTTATTACCCAAATTGTTATATGTTGCATGCATTTTTCAAAAATAATATAAAAATGTAACTGCATAGATTTAAGCATATTTTGACCATTTTGACTGAAACAAATCAAGTCCCGAACACTAAATTTATTTATTTACGAAAGCTCTAAAAACTTGGTTTTAATCTGTACTTATTACTTAAACACAACCCATTTCATGGTCCTGGCTACGTCACTGGATGTAATAATGAGTTCACATGAACACGGTGTCTTTCGCTCAATATTATGAACGTGAATATCGGTGAGGGTTAAGACTGCAATATTGTAATCGTTATATACATAATAGGTACAATATTATACATATAATATCGAAAGAAAGTCAACTCAAAATAAACACATCGTATTTAATCGATTGAAATTATAATTTATTTTACAGTTCTATTAAAAGTTCGAATATAAATTTCTCGTACCAAAGGTTAGGCCAGGTAAATCTGATGATAAATACTCAGAAAATTTATATTAAAAATTACCATAGTGCATTACATATTTACATCACAATACATATTTTTTTCATAGGTAAGAGATAATACACAATAATTATTCAGCGATTGTGGTAACAATATACAAAGGTGATTATAAATATATTATATAACCTTGATATATAAATATATCATATACACAGTTTAAATGTATTTTACTCATATACTGTGAACATCAACCCCGAGCGAATGCGCGATCTGTTGTCCGATTATTAACAACCATCTGTGGTGTCACGCTCACAATAATAACTAAACTTGTGAAAAATGTACTATATGATGTGTATAGTCATAATATTAAATATAATTGTGTGTAAAATATAAATTTGATTTTTTTCCCAGATCATTCCGTAGAGTGTTTTGTTTTTCCGTACAAAAATATTACTTTAACGAAGACAATAATAATAATAATATAATAGTATTCAATACAAATCCATTATATTATTATGTCACGGCCGCTACTGACGATTGCTTTGTTTGCGTCGGTGTTACTGAGCGTTTTATTGCAGTCGGCCGACGGTGCGGGAGCGGACTTCGGTGATCATATTTTGCAGCGGGATGCCGCCACCGACCAAATACCTGGTCTGTGGTTGTCCGATCTGTTTTACAAGGCGCTGGCCAACTTCACCTTGCGGTGGGCGGACGGCCCCTCTTGCCGCCGCCAATCCGCCTTGTACGAGGAACATTTGAGCAATCACACCAGTTGGGCCGTCAGAAGTGAGTGATTATTTTATTGTAATAGGTATATTAATTATTTGCAAATTATTGTTGTGTTTCACAAATTCTATATAATATTATTAAAATGTACGTTTTTAAATACAGTTCAAGATGTTTTACATCATACAAATCGTACATATTAATTTTAAAAATCTTACATCCATTACTATTATTATTAATCATATAATATAATTTTAATATAATATACTATAATATTATACTATTATTATAATCAGTTGCGTTCTCAGGAATTTTCGGGAGGGTGGGTTCTGAAAATTTAGTAGAATCGAATAGTGAAGGGCTGTGCTCCCACACCCCCCATATTCTTAAGATTTACAAATTTTGTGTTATTATGTATTTATGTATTTTACCATTGTAGTAGACAGTACCTAGTGAGCTGTTTTTGGTATATCATGTGTATCAAAAATAAAATAATGCAACTAAAACCTAAGTTTTCCACATTCATAATTTAATAATCATTATAAAACCATAATAATTTAGCAAACATTTCAAAACACAATACTTTCAAGTTTCAGTCCATGATCTCTATCCATTATCTTTATCGTTTTACTACTTCTGTATCTGGTTAATAGGATATTGTGCATTGCCAACAAGAATAAATCTTTTTCTTTTTAAAATTAATTTTTTATTAACCTGTACATTTTTGATTTGTATACAGGTTATACTTATAGAATATAAACTTATCTTTACATGAACCTGTGGCCTGTTTGCATAGCCCTTGAAGTTTCTTTAAAATATTAATTTAAATGACTCCATTTTGAATGAGATGTGTCACTATTAGCTAAGTTAATTGTTAATAGTTATCCATATTTTTATTCAAAATTTCAAACAATAGGTACTATACAATATTATAAGAAAGTAATATTATTAACAGTAACTGTTATAGCATTTCCGTCTATAATATAGTTATACAATAATTATTTTCTGTAAATATGCAATATAATAACTATTATTATAAATTATTATTTACTAATTAATATATTTAATATTTTGGATTCTTTTTTATAAAATTAATTTTTACAAAATTGAATTTATTTTAAACCTGTGGCTTACGAAAAAAATTAACTTAACGTGGCAATACAATTAATTAACTCGCAAGGTAGGTACTGTATAACATAAGAAATAAGTAACTCGTTAATTAGCTTAGCTAAAAGTAACTTAACTTTTTTTCTTAACTCGTTAATGCCCAGACTTGCTTTTTTACTACAAATAAAATTTTAATTATTGATTTTTATAGCAAAAAAATGTGATTGCTCAACTCTTTTTGGGTGCAGCTCAAGGTTTCGGTTGATACCGGTTTTAACCCTTATTTTTTGACTTTTTTTAAAATATTCTTTTAGATTCTGAGTGAAACGATGAATGTATTGATTTTACAATGATGTGTGTTTTTTTTTTAATTTTTAATTTTTTTGTGTCTGTCATCATGTTTTAGGACAGTAAAAGTGCTTGGATTTTCCTCAACAGTAGCTTTTCTGATAGGAAAGTGAATCTAGTTGGTACTTTGGTGGGTCAAAAGTAAAAATTTTCCAGTAGTTTTCACAAGCGCCGGGAAAAACAACATAAAAATTAAGGAAAACCGAGAATATTTACGCAAAATTGGTTTTCCAAAAAATCGATTTTGGTTTTTGGTGTAACTCTAAAAGAAATGAACTGAACGTATAAACATGAAATTTCCACTGGTTGTTTATATTTGCATTTTATATACACGATAACATTTTCAAAATATTTTGATTTATTTTGTTGGGCAAATAATTGTAAAAATGGTTCCTGATAACAAGGCTCCTGATATATTGTTACAATATCAGTTCAAAAACATTGAAAATACATAGGCACAACTTTTTTTTATAAGCATTTAAAGTTGAAATTTTGACAAAATTTATCAAAATCACGAAAATTATCAATCATTGTAATTAATAAATTATAAAATGTTCAGTTTTTATAGCTAAGGATTGCAAATTTAAAACAAATAGGTTCTCATAAATAGTTCATACTGTAACCAAACAATCTAAAAAATATATGAACACAGTTATTTTTTACAGACATTTTAAATTCAAATTTGGACGAAATTACATATTAAAAAACCTAGAATAACTATTTTAGTTATTTTGTTGTGATTGAATAATATTATTCGTGGGTACTTGAAACTTCTAAAGTGTACTATTATATATCTATGATAGTATCACGGTTTTTGTTGATGTATAGCGCGTTATAACTACCTAATGGATATTGTGATATGATTAATTTGGAATTTATTATAAGTACCTATTATTGGTCAATTTTTTTTAATATAATAGATAACTATATAATATGTCTAATACTCTAATACATAGACTGACATAACTTCTCCTCTCAGAATCGTTTTTCTTATACAATGATATTATATCATTAAATTCAGATTTAATACCATCCATTATACAGTGACCCACTTGTAACCTACTCTACAGCAGAGCACCTTTTTGAACTTTAAATGCTTATAAAAAAAAACTGTGACTAAGGATTTTTAATATTTATCATATTTTTTCAAGTTCGGATTTTGACAAAATTTATCATGTTTAAAATTAAATAATTATTTTGTATTTAAAAATGTATTAAATGTTCAACTTCATAGCTAAGGATTGAAAATTTAAAACAAGGGTCCATGTAAATAGGTGAATATATAAATTACTTTATTCACAATAAAATCATCAAATATACTTAGTAATATCATAGACTACCGGCCGTTTTCGCTCAGAATGGTTTTCTTATACAATAATGATATTATATCATTGAATTCAAATTTAACAACATCCATTACAGTGACCCATTTGTGACCTTCTGTACAGCAGAGCGACTTTTTTTAAATTATAAATGATAATTTTATTGTGTCTACTATATTTTCAGTGCTAGAATCTTGGGACCGATATCCAGTCGGTATACTTGCGGGGAACACATATCAAATGGGAGTCTATGACGAATGTGTGGATATAAGTTATCCATTGAAAGGACAGTATTGTTTGTCTGAAATAAAATTAATTCCTCCTGTAGGAAGAGATTACAGCTTCAAAAGAACGGAAGATTTAGACGATTTTGGTAACAACCATGCATGGAAGACCATACTTGGGGTGAGTTTCGTGTTCTAGGACCTATCTACTTTTTATATACAACTATCTAATTGATGTTAATTATCACTCTTTTTTTGTCCACATTTTTTGGGTTTTGGATTTTGTGGATTCATTGCAACTAATTATAGAAGGAATTAGATTAGGTCAACTTTTATTTTAAAATTTTACAATACGACTTGTTAACATTAGTTATACAGTTAGGTAGGTATTATTCGAAAATCCATTTTGCATATTTTTATATAATGCTGACTGGCCGAGCAGAAGTTTATTGTATGCAATCAATTATGAATGAACTCAATAATTTAACATTCCCCTTCTCTAATTTTATTTTTAATTACTATGTGGGTCACACATAAAATAGTGATTGGCGATTGTGCAACTTCCAACTTTTTTAAATTATTACTAAATAATATTTTGGTAAAAATGCTACCAAGGTATACTATTTTTCTCCTGGGCACTATAAATTATAATAACTGTAATCTTAATGGTTTGGTTACCTAATCTACAGTAAAGTTGTTATAGACAATACGTATAATAATATTATGATACTATGATTAATGTATAAACATGATTTTAACTTAATGTAGATATATAACTCCATCTTTGTCAATTATTATAGTTCAGTAATCAGTAACTATATACATTTTAAACTTTCATATATACAATTTAATCCATATAATATATGTTATGTCGTTTCAGTGGGCCGATTACAAGGACCAAGTGCAACGAAACGTTTTTAATTTGGGAATATGCATACCGGACGAGTGTTCAGCATTAGACCTACAGACATCCCTACAAAGCAAATTTGACGAGGCGTTTTCTCCTGCACAGTTCAAAGCCGTCGTCAGAGTTGACCCGATAAAATGCAGGGTCCGAGAAGATATGTATCCTTACGACACGGCGTATTATGTAACTTGGTAAGTAATGTGATTATTATATCACCATCATTACAATATTGTACAACAGATTTTTTACAGTACCTATAATTCAATATTCATCATGCATTATAAATATTATGAAAACTGATTATTAAAAATTCATGAGGATATGGGGAGCGAATTGAAATCCGAAAATATTGTGTCCTAATAGAATTTTAGCAGAAAACAATTTTTTTTGACATGTAGTTGAATGAAATGATAGTTTAGATGACAAATACTTCAGCTGGCAGTATTTTACCCGACAAATATTTTGGTTGACAATATTTTAAATGATTTTACTTCAGCCGACGGTTTTTTAACGGATAAATATTTGGCCGGAAATATTATAGCCGACAGCTAAAATTCTTTTCGGTCAATACACAATTATTCATTTTTGGGTTGGAAAATGTTTGGTTGTCTTCTATAATAATTTAAGGTACACAAAAAAAATTAGAATCAAAAATCAAAAGTTGGTTATACGTTCAAAAAGTAGTGTTAAACCGCAATTGCGAATTTCATAATGTACCTACATATTTTTGAAAATACTTCTTATAAGCAAAATATTGAACAATATTATATTACATCACAATATTATAAATTATACTTATAAAATTCTATTTTTTAGGTGGATATTTTCACTGATCGTTCTGATTTGTTGCGGTGCGACGTTACACCATTTTATAAGAATATTGTACCAACAAAACACAAATGAAAACGGTGAGAAATAAACGAATAATTGTATCTAATAATATTGTAAATAGAATTTGTTGTTTTTAATCTGGAAGAATTACATCCCAATACCTATATAATATTTAACAATTATTACTACTTCTTTAGGTGAAGTGCCAAGTTCATTTCTCTACGAATTTTCATTAATCGAGTCAATGAGAACATTGTTAAAATTCGACAAAGACAGTAAATTAAATTTTTTTTATATCTTAAAAGTAATTACGATGCTTCCTATTATATTTGGACACAAATTATATGGTTTGGTGTCGAATCCTATAAGTAATCCCAAGTATATGGAAGATGTAAGTTGAGAAATATATTGCTAATAACAATATTTATTTATTTATTTATTATAATAGTAAACGGGACAGGCCCTATTGACATATTATAATATTATAATATATATTGTATTATTATGCGTCCTGGTCTTATTTTTCTTATACAAGCAGTAGATACATATATTGTTTTATGCTTCTTGTTCAAAAACATATTTTACATACCTTCAATTCAAATTTATAAAATTCAAATTTTATCCTGCGTATATTATAATTCAATAAATTATGTTGACAATCACAGATATACCTCAACGGACCAGCTATGTTCTTGACTGGTTTGAACGCCGTTGACCCATTTTTCTTCGTAAGCGGTTTCATTATGTACAAGGGCCTTTCTCGAGAATTTCAAAAATCAAAGGCTGAATCAGTTTGGAAGACACTCTCGAAACCAATCATCCAGCGAATAATAAGGTGTTATAATATGAACAAATAATAAAATAATAAAATAATAAACATTTTTTTTTTATAGAAACTTAATTGCTATAATAGCTTGATTTTCCGGTATTTTTTAATATTGATAGGGGTATAAAAACTTGTTGGGAACCTCTTATAAAATGTATTATCTTAGCTATAAAAAGAAAAAATTTTATGAATTTCTAACTGAAATATAGTTTACAAAATTAAAAAAAATTATCACACGCATAAATAGCTCAAAAAGAGTCAAAATAGTTTGAAAAATTTACATTCTATGGATAATGCTAATATTAATATTTGGTGAATATTTTAAGCATCTACGGTTATTCGTTTTATAAATAAAACAAAATATCAAAAATTGATCAATAATTTACAGTTGAATATCAAAATATCAAATATCGTAAAAATTATAAATTCAAAAGTTTCAAAATTATGTTCTGTAAACTTTTTTACGTTATAATCTTAATATTTCAAATCTTAGAAATACTTGTAATCTATAAAAAAAACTTTTATGAATTTCTAACTGAAAATAATAGTTATAAATAGCTTAAAAAGAGTCAAAATTGTTTGAAAATATTGCAATGGAAAATGGTCATTTTAACATTTGGTAAAAATTTCAAGTATTTAGGATTTTAATAAAATATCAAAAATACTCCCATCGTTGTAAAATCAAAACATTCTTTTGCTCCGCTTAGAATCTAAGGCGCCCGAGCCATCGACAACATAACAATATATTATATTATGTCGTTTATTCTTAATAAATCTCATTTCGCTTTAGATTGTTACCGGCTTATTGTGTGATGATGGCGATCACGGCGCATTTCGTACCCCACCACGGAGACGGTCCACTGTGGCCATATAAGTCGTGGGAAGAAGCCGAGATATGTAAGAACTATTGGTGGACCAACCTGTTGTTCATAAGCAATTTCGTTGACGTCAAATATCAGGTAATATGATGTATTTGAATCCATGATAATTTAAGTTGATTCATATTTAGACAAGAAACGTTTTAAATTATATATTACTAGCTGTATCACTCGACTTCGCCCGGGAAAAAATGAACACACCTAAAATGAGGTGCTACGATTTATTGGGGTATTTCGATAGTATATAGTCATAAAGATTCTACCTACATTTTAACTAATTCAGAGTTGTTATAGTAAACTAAAAGTTGAAGATACATTTTGTTCTACAACGCAATTTATACAATAATATTCAGCTATTCGTAGTAAGATAAAGTGATCGGTGTTTTCCATACAACTCTCATGTATTTAAAATTAAAACTATTTATATGTAACAAAATGTATATTAATTGGGAGTTTATAATTTTGGGCAGTAATTTTTTTGACTGAGTGGGTAAATCATTATATAATCTGCAATGCATGTAAATTTCTCGCAAACTGAAATTAAAGGTATATTTCAAACATATAAAATGAATTACACTCAGTTACTGAAATTACGAATAAAATCATGGCATCTTACAAAACAGGAGGATTTGCATTTTCTTAAGTAACAATAAAACTGGAAATAATAGATTACTCAGGAATGTATTTGAAACGACTATCAAAAAAAAATTAAAAAAAATTCAATAGTGTGTTCAGGGTATTGTAACATAAGACAGGCCCGTTCTTTTATAATATATATTATAAGGACAGCTAAATATATATATAAATGAATGTATGTCCGTGTATGATCATTTGGTACAGAGATAGATTAGACCTCTAGGCAGAAGTTAGGACAATTTAAAAAGGGAGAGGAACTCTAACCTTGGGTAGTGTTTAAACAGGGGTTTTGAAATTCCGATGGACGTTTTTGTTTATAAATGGTTGCCATGGCCTTTAAAGCTATAATTGATGCGTTTTGATGCAAATTTGTTGGTTACTGACTGGCATTAAACATAATTGTATAAACTAATTTCTATTTATTTTTATTCCAGTGCCTCATAATGAGTTGGTACTTATCATGTGATATCCAGTTTTTCGTAATCGGAGTTATTGTAGTTTACGTTTACACGAAAAACCCAAAATATGGAGTCGCATTGCTTGGCACTATAATTGGTTTGTCGATATCCGTGCCGTTCATAATCACTCTTTTGACAGGAAGAGAAGGAATGGATATGTCTCTTATACCGTATGTTAAGTATTTTAGTCATCGAAAGAAGATTTAAACTCACAAACAGTGAATTCGGATAACTGAGATTTGTTGTACCTATTCTCAATGCTGGTCTAACTATTATTCCGAATTCGTCAAAACGTATATATAGTGGCGCCGAATTGTTTAAAATAAACTATGACATCGTACGTCAAGGTTCCTCCTATCATCCCCCCTTTTTTAATATAAGAATTAGATGCAAGCATAACACCTATATATATAATTCAATGTTTAATAATTTATTTTTACTTTTTAATGTAAATTGTGGATTCACAGCTGGTATCTCCTGCAGTAGCCTACGGTGGGCCCCCATCTAAAATATGCCATAGATAAATTAGGTGATCGGCGCCACTTCGCTTTATATAATACCTATATCATACATATTTGAACTATTTAAACAATTATTCAAGCATTATTTTAATTTAACTCTTTCCGGCACAGGGTGGCGAATCAAAACGTTACCTTAGATGCACGGGCATGTTTTTGGTTTTTAATTTTAAAATAGGTTATTAAAAAAAAAATATTTCAATGGGTAGTAAAATATATTGGTAAATCAATACCATCCTACAGTGGGCCCCCATCTAAAATATGCCATAGACACAGATATATAAAAATACTAGATAGACGACTCCCTATTCCTACCATGTAATAATTAAGAAGCCAACAAAATGGCCGAAATGCTCTTATCTAAGAGGTGAATGTTTACAATAAATATAAATTATGATAAACTGTGATAATTTTATGGCGGGAATCAAAAACTATTAAATATGTATTACAAATTACAATATCATTACAATATCATACACTTACTAGTTACAACTTACAACACGGACTAAGGTCTAAGATGTACTTATATTTTTTATTTTATAGTATGTCTTAGTCCTTGACTTAAAATTAAGATTAAAAGTATAATTTATTGCAAAAAACGAGAAATACAATATAGATATAATAAACAAGTTTCAAGCTCGTCCAATAAGCACATGCTTGAATTCTAATGATCTGAGTTCATATTAAAAATGAACTAAAATGAAAATAAATTTAACTTTATGTTATGTCATATTACAACAAAATAAAGTAAAACAAAAAAGATTTAATTTTATATTAAATATAAGAGAAAATATTATTAATATATATCTTATACTTGGTGAAATTACAAAAATTGGTTAAATTAATAATATATTTATGTAATAACAAGCCTCTTCTAATTATTAGACATTGAGTTCCAAAATAAATGCCATTAAATGGTATAATTAAATTACAATTATTTTATGATCTTGTATTTACAACCATACAAATAATGGAATTTACTTGTATTAACTTTAAACATACAGTATAATACAATATGCAGTTCATAAGTTTTAACCAAAAGTTCAATCCTTTAACTCATGGTAAATTATATTAGTAAAATATGATTTAGTTTTGTTAAGAATGATTTTTATTAATTAATTTATAGTTTAGGGTAAGACATTGTTGTGTATAGGAGTATGTGAAGCCACACATCAAAATCAAATACAAACATTAAATATAAAAATCTTGATTTAAAAATAATAAACCTATGTAATAATACATTTGCATTCGATATTTCGATAATAATATTTTTTATACACTTCAATGTGATAATGTTCCTTTGCTAGATAGACCTTATAAGATGGTATTCATTTCATTATTAGTTAAAAAAATATCTAAGTATTCAACTCCATTCTTTTGGCAAAATGTTTTCAACAGAAATTTTAAATCCTGTTAGTAAAAGACAAAAATTAACTAAACAAATAATTTTTATGAACCAGTAGTAGGTATAAAATATTATATGTAGTATAGACTATAGGTACCAGTTTTATTTTAAATATTTGTATTATTATTAAATTAATTAATATACTAGTTTTGTTTTATTTACTTGAAATATTTTATATTTATTACTATAATATGTAGCACTAGTATAGATACAAATTTTGTTTTATTAATTTTAAATATTTTATGATTATTATTATACAAGGTAGTATACCAGTTTTGTTTTATTGATTTTAAATATAGTTTTTCAAAAATAATAAATGGATGTAAAATTTTTAATTAATTAATTCAGATTGTTTTTAAAAATATTTTACAATAGAACAAATTTTTATAAAATAATGTAATATTCACATGCACTATTACATAATTTACATAACTGTTGAATAAGCTAAAAGTTGATAATATGTATTTAAGACTTATGTAAGTAAGTTAAGTTATTAACATCATGAACTAACTATACAACTTTAAAGTTTAAACTTATAATTTATAATATTAATCATATTATGACAAATTAAATAACAATAATATCTTTATCAGTATTATGAAAATGTAAACCACGGACTAAGATATAATGGACTGGAAACGAGCAGCTTATCATGGCCACGAATGTATGTACAAGAGGCAAAGTGCGGGGGGTCGCTATCTGTTCTTGGAGTTCACAGCGCCCTCTGTATTTAACACGGACTAATATACAAATTGTGTAGCCAAATAAAACCACCGGTAGCGCTGAAAACTTCAAGAACAGTATTCTTATCAGCTAAGTGACATCTTTTCTCACAGACTTCTATACTACTATATATAGAAATCTGTGTCTTTTCTTGGCCGTCCCCCGATCCCCGCCGACCATGTCGTTTCCAGTCCATTATATTTTAGTCCGTGATGTAAACATTCACCTCTTAGATAAGAGAATTTCGGCCATTTTGTTGGCTTCAAAAACATTTCCAAGTTATCTATCTAGTATTTTTTATATATCTGTGGCCATAGATAAATTAGGTGATCGGAGCAACTTCGCTTTAGGTTAGGTTTTGGGCGGTTTTGGGCGGTTTTAGGCGGTTTTGGCATATAATTTTACATGAGGCGGAAAAATATTAAATAGTAAATAAACTATTACTCTAACACAGGAACAAAATATGTTAATACTATACTGTATAATTAACTGTAACTGAGTGTAACTACGTCATGGACAGACGAATATTTCACGACCAAAATATAACAGACGTGCGACACCGCGACGGCCGTCTGGCAAGCGCAGCCCCCCACCTAGCAAGTAGCGCGGATGCATACAATTAATGTACCGGCGGTCCCGGCGGCGGCGGCCAATGTTTATAATATCGTTGAGCAGTTGATATTAGTCGCCTCTGGCGGCGGTCTGCGCATGCGCAATTTACACTATTTTACGAGCTTATATGTGTGTGCGTAGACGCACCTCGCATGCACTAACTTAGGCGACGGCGGCTACCGCCTCTCGCCTCTGTCGATCTTAGCGCTTTAGCGCTGGCGGTGGCGGTGGCGGCGGCGCCGTGCCGGGCCGGACGCAATATTAAATGGAAACTATTAATATTATAATAGCTCGTAAGTTACGTTGCAGCGACACGCAGCCATTCTTGCGTTCGCAGTTCGCACAAGTTCTGTACAAAAAAATAATATTCAATATTGTTGTTATATATATATAAATATAAATATATATCTAAAATAAATAAATAAATTAATTAAAATTAAAAATTAAATTATACGATTAAAATTTAAAATTTAAAAATAGTACAAAATACCAATATAAATAACCAAATATTTTTTATTTTCGTAAAAATTACAAGAGAGGCGGCGCCTCACTTGCCTCACCCCCAAAACCGCCACTGATGCACGGGCATTTTATTGGATTTTAATTTTTAAATAGGTTATTAAAAAAAAATATTTCAATAGGTAGTAAAATATATTGGTAAATCAATGCCATCCAGTGGTGTATGAAATAACCAGCAATGGTGGTCAGCAACGCTAACCATTATTGAGAAAAAAATTGAAATGTAATTTTTTGGTGCAACAAGCAGAAAAATTAAGTGGTCAGCTGCATGGCCTGATTGGTGTGTATCGGCCCATCGAGATTTTACTTCTAAACGGCCTATTTACACATTTATAGAGGCACAAATATTACGTAATATAATTATTATGAGCTTATAGGTGGCCAATCGTATTTTAAACATGAATTTATTTTCACTCACACTCCCACGACCGGCCAAAACTTTTCCCGATAGTTTGCCTAACCAATTCGGCTCTAGTCAGCTGTACTAGCTGCCATGCCGGAAAGAGTTAAGCAATAGTGAATTGTTTCAATGGTTATTAGTTATTAATTATTACACTATTTACACTAAATATGTTTTGAATTAAAACGAAATAATTAATTAAAATAAAAAATTAACTACAGTAAGAACTTATTGATAGAAAAATTTAACTTATGAGAAATGTATGTAACTTTAACTACAAAATATTTTGCAAATGTTAATAAATTTGAAGAACTTTTTGAAAATTAGAACTTGGATTATTCTTTTGAAAATTATATCATGTCTTTAAAATACTAATTAAGTCTATTACTTTTTGAATATAAATTATGCACTTACAATGTAACAGGTACATCTTATATATTGCCAAATATCAAAAATTGTTAAAAACAAATTTTTTACGACAAACTTTGGTTAAGATGCTGCAGCTTATATTATTATTGAGTTATAAAATTGTATACACAAATACAGTACATTATACATGCATGATGATGATTAATATTACATATTATACAGTATATTCTTATATTGTTTACAGACACATAATGTACCCGAGAAATATTTTATCGTTAAACGAGTCGTACCGACCAAGTTACATGCGAGCCACGCCATTCTTTGGCGGTTTGGCAGTGAGCTTTGTATTGGAAAAACTGAAGGAAAAAAAAGTGAAATTTTCCCAAGTAATATTATTAGTGTCTATTCGATTTTATCTTGTGTTTTACATAAATTTATTTACAAATGTATTTGTTCTTACTTATAACTTATATTATGATACCTGTTGATGTTTTATTTGTGTGCCCTGTATACAGACGGTGGTTCAAGGCGGAATATTATCCATTTGTACGTTTACTTTATGGGTTCAGTTTTACGGCACTGTATTCTATGAGAGAAATAGACCTTATTATCCATTGGAACACGCCTTGTACTCAACTATCTGTCATTGTACGTGGGCAGTAGCGGGCACATGGATTATCATCAGTTATTTCACGTCTGGCTACGGTGAGTAAAATCACTTTTTTTTAGATGTCCTAGAGAGTGTGATATTTAATCACCTCTGCAATGATGTCATATTAGGCCACAGCATAACCAATTAGAATATTTCTGGACCTTGGCCCTTGGGCCAAGAAGAGCCAAACTCGCTTTTTGGTGAATATGAGATAAAGGATAATATATATAATATATATTATATACAGTCTTATACATATTATTTATATATAGTTTCTTAAAAAGGACGTACCTATCTAGGGTGATTTCCCGAGTACGTTGTACGTGCCGTTTTTCATTTTTAACTTTTTCATAGCCCGAGTGCTTTTTTACTGTCAAATTTTTTCTTACTGTCTATTTAAAACAAACTTGGAGACACCATTTCAGGGCATCAGCTTTATTAATATATCTCAACTACAAGGGTTTTTACAGGTCTACTTGAAAATTTGATTAGCAATAAATTTATTATGATTATGGGGAAACTTTCATACCCCGTTTTGTTGGTGAACATCACTATTATGCAAACATCTCAGAGTTCGCAGAGGTTACCAGTTCATCTGTCTTCAAGATATGTGGTAGGTAAGACACTAATATTAAGAATATTATACGGTTTCATAGTGGTATGTCCTTACTGCATAAACCTTATAATAATAGACAGTATTACCTACATGAACTATATATAACAACAGCATAAGAAGCAGCGTTTCAACGTCGCAGTGCGATGTAACCTGTCTTGACCATAAAATACAATAATCTATGTATCTTAGGGCCAGTTGTACGGTCTGCGATTAAACTATGATTAAGCTTAATCAGCTGATAACAGATATTTAAACGGGCAAATTCGGCCGATTAAACTCTGATCAACCATAATCATAGACGGTACAACTGGCCCTTACCGTCCCCACACTTCTATGCATATGAGTATACGACCATTTATATTGGCCTCTAAATAGCCCTCTATATATTGCCATGTTTTCCATACACCCATTTCTCGTCTATACGTATAAGGTCTATGGGTTTATGTCATATAAAAGTCCAGCGACGCAGAGTACGCACTCAGGTGTATTTGAACCATCTATAATGGTGGGGTTGGGTTGGTGGGTATATAAACAAATAGCCAAGGTAATTAATATTATTACTAAAGTAAGTAGGTACCTACTAGGTACTTACACACGTACCTGTTATGTATAACTTTGGAAATGCATTATTATAGCTTTACTCTATTACCATATTATGGTAGAGTGTGTCGTTGTATCTATACACCTAAACAAATTTCTATGACAGTGTAATTATTATGTGTAATTATTTATCCAAGGCAAAATCTAAAATGATCTCAGAACTCAAAATTCTGGATTACAGAGCATTTTTCCTAATAACTATACACTGCTCTTTAAATCACGTATACCTAAACACTAATCTAGCATTACGCCAGAGCGAATAACATTCTCAAAATTAAAAATCGTCAAAAATCGATTGAAACACTTTATGATTTCTTAGGATCATTTAGAACAATTGATGATTATTTCTTGTGTGTCTGATATTGATGTAGATCAGCTTATAGATATGTTAACTATTACTAGCACTACATAGTATGCATTAAAAAAAACTTTAAACTTAATTGTCGATAAACTTTATTTTTACTGAAATATTGAATTTTAAATGTTTTTTTTGTGAATCAAAAATCACAAAATAATGTTTCTATAATATATATGTATTAACATATTATATTATTATGCTATCTGAATAACCTGATTATAATTTGATGTATCCCGGTTTTAGTGTTACCTCAATTCAAGAATTTAAAACGTCCATTTTAAAAATCCAAACATTAATTTTAATGTCACGTCTTACGTTCAAAACTGATAACTAATAAACAATATCATATTATTATTGATATGAAACTTTATATGGTTTTTAATTTTCTTGGTTTACAGATTGAAGCTTATCTCTATGATGCATTCATGTGTTATCTGATGGCCATCATCTTATATTTGGTTGTTGATGAGCCGTTTGCGAAATTGACTAAAAAACTATTTTATCAAAGGTAAATTATTATAATTGATTTTATTTATTTTTTTAAATTTTGTAAGAAATCGATAGTCCAAAATATTAAGAATGTACGATCCACATAATGACGTACGTTACAACACGCTCCCTCCCCAAATTTGACTTTCCCAATTTTTTTTGGCCTGTGAATTCCTGCCCAGGTTTTTACAATTCCTGCTCTAACGGTTTTCCCGGAAAGTTTAATTTTCTACGGGTGGGGCTGGGGTAACGTACGTTATATAATATCATTTTTGTTTTATTTTAAATTTAAATGTATTTGTTCTCATATTATTTTATAATAATACCTGAAAAATACGTATCTTATATACATTTGCAAACAAACCTGTAGTAGGTAATCTAATTCTAATACGCCGTTCTTAATTGTAAATAATCTTTAAATAATCTTTAGATAATAATTATAGGTACCTAAATCCAAGCCAATCTTATATAATGAGTTTGTCATGATTATAATAATGAATAATAAATTACTATTCATTATATAACTAATAAATGTATAGAGCAAATATTTATCTTTCTATAAGTATAATAATAATTTAATAATCTTTCTTTTTAATATATTTTTAGGAAAAGTAGAGACTCGTTGATCAAGAATGGAACACCGATCAAAACACCAGCTACTTGCAGCAGTAAAACTGTTAAAAACGACTAACCTATCTTATAATAAGTAGTCTAATTATGAAATGTTAGCAATTATATCATGATATATGATAATATAGGTTATAAAGTTATGTTCTTCTGTATCGGTAGGTACAGGTGTACAGCAGCAATACTATTTTTGACAAGCCCGGATTAAGGACCAATTGGGACCCGGGACACCACACACTTAGGGGCACCCATTCAACTTCAACCTCAAAATAATTGTATCATTACATCTTAACGACTTTATATTATATTTTTTACAATACAAAAATGAAAAAATATACAGAGTATATCTTCTGTTATTGTACTCGGTTTTTTTATTAACGATTATGGATTGATGATATGGAATTTTGTTAAAACAAAAAAAGACGAGCTTTTCTTTATTTTTAACAGGCAATTTTTTTATAACATATTCAACATTTTTAAACACGCAGTTGTGCCTAAAATATAAATACTCAATTTTTTCAAATGGTTACTACTTTATTTTTTGATGAATTCCGGTAAAGCTTTTAAATTTTTCTGAACATTTTGACAGTCTAATGATCAATTTTGGTTCGCTAGGTTAACTATGGTAATCAAAAGTTTAGTATAATATGCATTAAAACTTTTAACTGAAACGCCTAATTTACAAGAGCTAAATAATATTTCTTATAACTACATTTTTATTAAAAAAAAAAACAACAAACAAAATTGTTGGCAAACATAGTTCATTATTTACAGTAATTTTTCGTGATATAAAATTGAAACCAATTTTATTTTATAATTATTAATAATAATTTAGTATTTACCTACTATACCTATCTAGTTAAATAATTATTAGATTCTGAGTGAAACGATGAATGTATTGATTTTACAATGATGTGTGATTGATTTTTTTTAGTTTTTATTTTTTTATTAATTTTATTTTTTTGTCTGTGTATACGATATGTAGTCGAAATAATGCTTCGATTTTCAACTTCAGTAAATTGTTAGATGGGAAAGTGAATGTAGGTTGGTGCATTAGGGAGGTCAAATTTTGAAATCCCCAATAGTTTCAAAAGCGCCGGGAAAAACAAATAAAAATTAAGGAAAACGGGAATTTTTACGAAAAATCGGTTTTCTACAAAAAAAATATTAAAAATCCTTTGTCACAATTTTTTTTTTATACTCTAAATAAGTAAATTTAAATCTTGTCAAAATACTGAAAAATCGAGAAAATTAGCAAATAAATTTGAGTTGTGAATTCATAAAAATTTTTCTTTTTAAATCTATGATTTGATAATGTAATACAAGATTCCTCATAAGTTTGTCTACCTTTATCAAAAACAAATTTCTACAAGAAAGTCAAATTAAATTTTTATGAGCGTTTGAAATTCATATTTTTAAAACATTTGATTATCACTCGATTTCTCTTGTAACGATTTTCTTATTTTGTTGTAATTAAAAAAAGAATGACTGTAGATACTTGAAAATTTCACTGAATGTTTATATTAGCATTTCCTATACACCATACAATTTTTAAAATAATTTGACTCTTTTTGAGCTAATTACGGGCATTGTCAGTTTTCAATTTTTTTTTTTTTTTTTTCTATAAATATCAATTAAATTTTATTTGTTTGGTAAAAAGCGTGAAACTTTAATGCAAGGCTCCTGATATATTGTTACAATAGCAGTTGAAAAATATTAAAAATACATATTATGTACTAGTAATTTTTTTTATAATTAATTTAAAGTTCAAATTTTGACAAAATTTAATTATTATTTTGTAGTTAAAAATGTATAAAATGTTCAAATTTTATAGCTAAAGATTGAAAACTTAAAACAAGGTTCCACTTAAATAGGTTATAATATATAAATTATTTTATTCACAATAATATCATAAAATATGCTGGGTAATATCATAGGATTGATAGAATATAATATATTAACATTACTGAGGTATTTTAAGAACGTGAATTTGCTATCTGGGATAGAATTAAAATTTAACACCATCTCAAAAATTAATAACCACAAACCCTTGAAATGTTTACCAGATATTTATAATAGCATTTTCCATAAATTGTAATAATTATAAAATATTTAAACTCTTTTTGATCTATAAATGTAGCCTTGAAATTTTTTCGAATTTTTTAAGATCATTCTCAATAAAAATTGAAAAGATTGAAAAATACTAGGTGCCTTATAAGTTTCATTAATGGATTTAAAAATATTAAAGATACATTACCTAAATATAATTTTTTATAGGTTTTTAAAGTTCAAATTTTGACAAAATTCTTTATCACTGAACTACTGAAATAAAATATAACACATCTATTACAACGACATGCTCGACAACTACTGTACAGCAGAACGGTACCCATGTGTCCACCTTTTTAATATTTATATTAGTCTGGTAATAATTATTATTTATGTATTGATAAATTTAATAACCTTTTTCTCCGTTTATTGATCGCCTTAGGAATTTGTCCCAGGTATAATGCTTCTTATTAATATTTTTGAAATGCTGTTAATGTTATATAATACGCGTCATAATATTCATTTTTGAACTATGATGGTTCAAGAGACATTAGTTAATTTCTATAATAATATGTAAATTCACGGATTAAAATATTACATTAAAATACTTATTTATAAACATGACATAAATATATTATGTAGCAATGTAGCATACACGTGAGTAAACATTTGGTTGCATTTTTGTTGGAAGAATTAAATTAGCATATCTGATATATTCATTTCATAAATTAAATAAATGCCATTTAAATTGATAATAAAATAGAATTTGTCAACGGAACACATTTCACAAGCATCGTATTATATATTTATTTCGAACCCATGACCCATCCTTTATTTAAATTGAATATGATAATGATGTTCAGTACTTATATTTGTAAAATGTACAATGTACGATGTACATATAAGCAAGTAACACATTAGTAGGTACCTATCTAAAATGTGTGAGTGATTTACCCTGTGAAATTATGAGAATTCTGAAAATTTGTAAATACAAATTTTTATTGTCGTTATGTCTACTTCGGGATTGATTTTTTCGCTTTTTTGATTTTATCTCCCTAAACCCTTAAAAAGGTAGATTAAAAAGTTTCGTATTTTAATTTAAAATCAAAAATTCGAGAAAGTCGAACAAATAATAAATTAAGTAGGTATGATAACTATAAATTCAAATTTCATTTAATTGTTCTTATCGTTTCACAGGAACAGCCGTTGACAATAGAGCACAATACCTTAATTCTGTGTGGCGCGTATTGTTAGACAAAAACAGATAATTACTGCTTCCGATTCCGCCCGTTTGTATTTTTCTAAGCACGTTTCGTTTTCGTATCGAAAACCTAAAAAGCATCTATAAATTAAGTTAAACTTCCTTGGATAATAACACGTTTATGCGTGTAAATAAATATGTGTGTGTGCGGGAAAAAAATGCTTTTAACGAATTACATCGACGCGTGTGACTACAATTTTTTTTATTTACTTGGTTTAGGCAAAGGTGGGCATTAACTAGTTAAAAAGTTGATTTTTTTTTTAATTTTTTAACTTAACTAGTTAGTTTATTTTCTAATCAACTTATGAACAGTTTAAATTACAGTTGAAATAAATGTCTCAGTTGATTTTAAAAAAATTCATCAAGTTAACTACATTTTGAAGTTTCTCGTTTTACTATATCAGTATAAAATAAAAATAATCCAATACATTTCTGATCTTTTCTTGATAACATAATTTTGTGTATATTAATATATTTTATTAAGTTGAAAATTATATATTATGCGAGTTGCAATTATAAATGTTTTTAATAAAATTAATAATTTTAAATTACAAATTGACAATTGTTATGTTTTAATGTTATATGACTTATAAAATATACTTGTACGAAGGTCATGTACTCACTCATCTTCACGTATTATGACATTCAATTTCTATACGATATAAAAAAAAAAAAAAATTGTTAAATTATTAATTTGAGATTAGTATAGTTTAAATTAGTAAATAAGAGTGAAGTAAAAGTAAAATGGTATACAGTGTACATTATGATAAAAGTTCAATAAAATTATTTTTTATAATTTATAAATTAGAAACTAGAAAGGTTAGGTTCACTCTTTATGTGATTTGCATACTTAATAAAAAAAGAAATATATTAACTCTTTTTAACTGATAGTTAAGTTAATATTAAGGTAATACTTATCGAGTTAAATTTATAATTTGTTAACTGTTAACTTTTAACTTATCGATTTCGTGTCCTATTAACTTAATTTAACTTGAGTTAATTATTTTCATTAATTTGCCCACCTATGGATTTAGGTACCTCTATAGCTATATTATAATAATAACTACATATTGTGTACAAAGTCATAGTACCCACACTGCACTGCTATACAGTGTACATAGTGCATGCACGATGTAATTATATGTCTATTATACCTAACAGCAATAATAATAATATTATGCAAGCGTGTCTGACCGCATCGTCGTCGCATCGTATCATTCATATCTATTATATTATATAGCTGTAAGATGGCTGCCGGACAATTTATCATCCTATGAAAGCTTTTAGCAAGCGTATAAATTATTCCAGTAGACGTTTATTATATCATCATAAATAAAAATATAAAACAGTTTTATTATTTATCTCTTTCAGGAACCTCAGGTTGACTCATAAGTCATAAACCACCTCCTCACACACTCCTTCACTTCCTCCAATAGGCCATGTGATCATATTAAGTATATAGTATATACACTCATTATTTCGAAATTGTCAACTATTTTTAAAATATTTACTTACATAATTTTATGTCATTTTCAAAATAACATATTAGATACTGAAAACAATTATATTTTTTACTATTTTTAGAGTCATAATTTCCTACGTTTTTTCATTATTGAATGACACCATACATCATTAATTTCATAATCCGAAGCAGAATATTATTCGAAGTACCTACTTCAATCTATAAATATCAAGTTTCGGACCAGTAGTTCTGCACTCGGTACCTAGTTAAAAGCATATAATAGTCTTTATGAACGGAGTAATAGAGTCATGATACAGAGGAATAAACTATACTATTGTATGAAATTTGATTTGTATAGATTGAAATGGTTTGAATAAAATTCTGCTTATTCTAATTTTTTTTTTTTGTATAATATGGTGTTAACGCCAATCAGCTTTTGCAAGATTGAACAATATTAAGATACATTCCAAAATATACAAGATATGTATTAAAGTGTAACATATAGGCACGATTTAAAAGAGATAACAATAGATAAATATTAAATAGAATATAATATGTATATATAAATTTCCTTCCCTTTGACGTTCAATATTTTTTATGTAGTGATGATTTCACATGTAAACAGTGTATTTCGCAAAATATTATGAACTTAAATATCGCTGGTGGATTAAGACTTCAATATTGCAATCATTACACATAATACAATATTATATTAGAATATGAATGGGAATAGTCAGTCAAAATAAACACATCGTATTCAATAGAAATTATAATTCAAAGGTGCGATTATAAATTATTCGTGGTTATACTAGTATACATATAGTATATGGTTACATAATAATGTGTATATTTTCCGTCGGTAAGACATAATACACACTTATTATTCGACGATTGTGCTAATAATATACAAGGTGAGTATAAATATATATATAACCTTGAATAATAATAATATAATATACAGTTTAAATGTATTTTACTCATATACTGAGAACATCAACCCCGAGCGAATGCGCGATATGTTCTCCGATTATAAACAACCACCTGCGGTGTCACGCTCACAATAATAAATTAATAACCAAACTTGTGAAAAACGTACTATGATGTGTAGTCATAATATTAAATATAATTGTGTGTAAAATATAAATTTAATTTTTTTCCTAGATCATTCAGTAGAGTGTTTTATTTTTCCATACAAAAATATTACTTTAACGAAGACAATAATAATAATATAATAGTATACAAAACAAATCCATTATATTAATATGTCACGACCGCTACTGACGATTGCTTTGTTTGCGTCGGTGTTACTGAGCCTTTTATTGCAGTCGGCCGACGGCGCGGGAGCTGACATCGGTGACCACATTTTGCAGCGGGATGCTGCCACTGACCAAATACCCGGTCTTTGGTTGTCCGATCTGTTTTACCGGGCGCTAGCCAACTTCACCTTGCAGCGGGCGGACGGAACGGCTTGCCGCCGCCAATCCGCCTTGTACGAGGCACATTTGAGAAATCACACCAGTTGGGCTGTCAGAAGTGAGTGATTATTATATTTTAATAACTAATAGGTATATTAATTATTTGCAAATTATTTCCTTGTTGTACTTAGGTGACAAACTCAGTATATAAAATAAAATAGAAATAAGGGCTAATTTGAGAGTTTGTAATATTTTAAACTCTCAGAAAAACTGCATAAACATGTGATGGAGATTTTATAATAAACCAAAACAATATTTTAATATCAAAAATTATACAATTTCCATATAATATCATTAAAATGTACGTTTTTAAATACAGTTCAAAATGTTTCACATCATAAAAATCGTACATATTAATTTTAAAAATCCTTTATACATTCATTGCTATAATTAATAATCAAATAATATAATTATAATACAGTAGAACTTCCATATAGCGGTCACTGAAGGGACTGTAAATAATGACCGCTATTTAGAGGTGCCCGTCCTACAGAGGTGACCGTTAACAGAAGTTCAAGACCTTCCAGGTGACCGCTATATAGAGGTCATACAAATTTTAAAAATAAAACACCAATATTAAAATAACGCATATGAATATGGGTATTAAAAATTGTATTTATTATTTACGAATAATGTAGGTAGGTAGGTACAGTTTAAAATTAAAAAAATTGAGTTATTTTAGTTTGTTTTAGATTCATTTGATTATTTGAATACTTTTTTTCAAAATAAATTTCTGTGGTTTTTAACATGTCATAACCCTCTTTGTCAAACCTTTTTGAAGAGTGAAAGCTGATAATTGTTTTATTTGAGTTAAAACCTCAGAATAGTTTGATACAGTGTACTCGGGTTGTTCAGTTTTTTCAGTTTCTCCAGTTTCTTCATGTGTTTCCTTTTCGTCATTATCTGTTATTATGAATGACTTGATATCAGTACTATATTCTTCAGTTCTTAGATTTTTGTCGACCAAAAAAAAACTCTTCACCTTGCATATTAGTTGGAAGCATATTAACTAATTGTTCACCAACAATTATTTCGTTTTCAAGATCTGTGTTATCTAAATCTACAGGCAAATTTTCCAAAATAAAACCTGATTTTTTAAAACATTTAGTAACACAACTACCAGTTATTTGCTTTACAGACTGTTTAATCCACATCAAAGCGTCTAATACAGTAATGCTTTTTTCAAGTTCATCAGCATATTTTACTACGTCTATCTGTGATAATATTCGCCTAAGTATCATTTGTCGGTAAATAACTTTAAAATTTTGGATTATACTTTGATCTAGAGGCTGACAGTGTGACGTCGTATTTGGTGGTAAAAATACTAAGTTTATGTTTTGTAGTTTTAAATCAGGATGTGATGTTGCATTATCTAAAAACAAAATAATTTTCCTCTTTTGTTTTTTTCATTTTTTCATCAAACCACATTAACCACTCAATCATTATACATCGTGTCATTCATGCTTTTTTATTTGCCTCCCAGTGTAGGTCTAAGCGTTTTATGTCCACATTCTTAAAGAAACGAGGTTTCTTAGATTTACCTATGATTAGTGGCTTTTCAAATTCACCTATTAAATTAACGCATAACATAACCGTCAATCTCTCTTTAGACTTTTTCCCAGAAGTACAAATTTCATTTTTAAAACTTAATGTTTTATTAGGAAGAATTTTATAAAATAATCCTGTTTCATCTGCATTGTAGGTAAATATTTCGTGGCTCATAAGAAGAAATTAATTGTTTGACTTTTATACGCCATTCGTCCACTGTTTCCGTATCAACCAATTTACTCCCGCCGCAAACCACTTTAAAAGAAATATTGTAGCGTGATTTAAATTTATCAAGCCAACCATTTGACGCTTTAAAATTTTCACATTCAAATTCTTTACTTACTTGTAAAGCCTTTTGTTTTAGTATTGGTCCACTGATTGGAATATGTTTAGTACGAGCTGCACAAAACCATTCGTATAGATGTTTCGTATGGATACTTCGTTGATATTGCCTGATTCAGTTTTACGACGTTTTGTTTTCATTTGATCATTACCGTGGGATTTCCATAATTTTAAAATCGTTTCTCTGTTTTTTATTAAATCGGTGGCTGGTGTTCTTCCTATTCCAAATTTATCTGCAAGAGCACTCACATTTTCTTTTTGGTAAAAATCTAACAATTTGATTTTTTCTGTTAAAGTTAGATGTTTTCGTTTGGACTCCATTGAAATTATAGGTACGTACTTCGAAACGTTTTAAACATACACTGAACACAAATGACAAAATACACTGTCACGGACAAGTGTTATCGCCTTATCGACATCATAAATTAAGCTCGTTAAGGGGCCTCACTACCAAGTCTTTTTTTTGTCAAAAACTACTGTTTCTAATTCCAACGATACGTGTCGACAATTATCACGATTTTCATTCTGAAAAGATATTCTGATTGTCCGTAATATAATATACAAGGGAACGATCGAGCCACATTTTTAATTTTTATAATTTAAATTGCAATAAAAATTGTAAAAAAATCAAAAAAAAATACAGAATTTCCAACTTAAATATTTAATTAACTAAATACAATTTTAAAAATGTGCCTCGATCGATCCCTCGTACATGTTGTGGAAAATAAGAATATTTTGTCAGAATGAAAATTGAGGTAATCGTTGCGACGTACTGTTGGAATTAGAATCGTATGTTTAAGTGAAAAATAGGCATTTTTTCATGATCACAATATTATTATATATTGACATGTGTGTGCGAGTGCATGCGAGAGCTACAATTGACCCGCATGGACGCCACACACACTAATAATCATTTACGACTAACACATAGATCTCGGGTGGCGACGACGAGATTAGAAATTGCCTAAATGATTCTCCTTAAATCAATGCCATTGCGAGGCCTCTTAAGATAAACTGTCAAAAATAATTTCGAAATAATAATTTTCCATTTGATATAATTTTAAATGTTGACCGTTAATTAGAGTGCCCGCTATTTAGAAGTATTAATGTATTTTTCCCATAACACTCGACGGGACCAAACAAATTTACTGTTACATAGAGGTGACCGTTAACGGAAGTTTTACTGTGTATTATTAATTGTAATGCATAACACTCAGATGATAATAATACTTGTGTAATCAGTCCGTGGTCCGTGTTTCTGATTCCGCCACTCTCAGTGACAGCTCGTACCTAGTTGTGCAGGTGTGCGCACATCGCATAGATTTATAGATATAATAGTAAAAATGTATTTAAATTTTTTAAATTGTTTTAATTCAATATCCGGTAAACTGTATATTTATTCTATAATACAAAATTAAGATATTCAATTTTAAAAACATTAGATATTCGCTTAAACATGATGACTACTGTATACCGTGGTATTGTTTAATAATAGACTGTGGTAGACGGTAGTATGACTTAATGTTAGGTCAGTGAAGTAAACGGGATTAGAAAAAATACAATTTTACCTTAACGACTGTTGTGCTGATCAAGTAGCTATCACAACCATAGGCGTGCACAGAGTTTTGGTTCCAGGGGTGCACACTAAAAATTAGGGCCAACAATAATTTTGAAACAATTATAGATACAGACAAATGTTTTAAAGATATCAAATGCACTAAAAATAATTATTTTATTTTATTATTCATCCTCATAAATATTACATAACAATACATATACAATCATATAATGATAATCGATGTTCAAAAGGAACAACATTTTTTAAATCGTCAATAATTTCATTAATTTAATTAACACTTAATTAATAATTAGGGACCTTTTAGTTTTTGGTGAAGTCTAGGGGTGCCCAGGCACCCCCGGAAACCAATGTCCGCATGCCTATAATCACAACTATAGGACTGCCAACTGCACATATTTCTGTTGCTCAATGACAACAATCGCCGGTATTCTTTGAATCTAATTAATTAGTTTGTTACAGGTGATTCATGTTTGGGTCAAAGTTATTGTTATAAATGATGATGTGCAATATATATATACAGAGAATTTCAAAAAAAAATTAATTACGTCATGTTTCTTTGTTTTTAGGGTCTATGTTTCTACGACTTTTTCACATTATAAAGCACACAGTTCTATGAACAACAGAAATAGAGAATAAACTTTAATTTGTTTAATAAATCCTGATAGGGCATGATAAAAATAAAATATTTATTCCTATTATATTATTTTATTTAAAACTATTAATTAATTAACTTTAATTTTGGAATATCTTACAGTTAACTTAACATTTTAATTTGACAATTTATATATACATATATATATATTTCATTCACATTATAAAAAATGTTATGAAATAACTTTTATTTAATTATAAATTATAATCTTAATAAAAATCCATTTTTTTCAGTGCTAGAATCTTGGGACCGATATCCAGTCGGTATACTTGCGGGGAACACATATCAAATGGGAGTCTATGACGAATGTGTGGATATAAGTTATCCATTGAAAGGACAGTATTGTTTGTCTGAAATAAAATTAGTTCCACCTGCAGGAAGAGATTACAGCTTCAAAAGAACGGAAGATTTAGACGATTTTGGTAACAACCATGCATGGAAGACCATACTTGGGGTGAGTTTCGTGTTTTAGGACCTTTCTACTTTTATATATACAATTAATTGTTGTTAATTATCACTCTTTTTTTGTCCAGATTTCTGGGTTTTAGATTTACTAGTTTCATTACAACTAAGTACAGATGGAATTATTAGACTAGGTCATCTTTTATTTTACAATTTTACAATACGTCTTGTTGACATCAGTAATAGAATTAGGTACTATACGAAATTCCATTTTGCATATTTTTACATACTGCTGACTGACCGCTCAGAAGTTTTTTGTATGCAATCAATTATGATAGAACTCATTAATTTAACTACCCCTTCTTCAGTTTTATTTTAGATTCTGAGTGAAACGATGAATGTATTGATTTTACAATGATGTGTGATTTTTTTTTATTTTTTTATATTTTTTTATTTTTGTGTCTGTCTCTAAAAGAAATGAACGTATATACATGAAATTTTCACTGGTTGTTTATATTTGCATTTTCTATACACGATAACATT